AGTTATAACATCAATTTTTATATGAATTATACCATACAAAATTCAACCTATAATAACTGAAAAAGCATTAAATTTAGGTGACGTCACGAAGCTGACTGAAAGTCAGTTGATTATCGAAATATATGATGTATATAGAAAAAAAAATTTGCTAGCGATAAATTTACTAATTCAATAGAAAATTGATCAAAAAGAATTGACATTTTATTTAACTTGAAATAATAATTTACTTAAAATAGGCCCGATATAACTGATATGTTAAATAAACTAACCGAGCGACGATGCAAAATAATAGGCTAATTTTTAAAAATGTACGAGTAACAAAACACGTATCACGCATATATTCTTAGATCAGATTAAGAATGAGAATAGAATTTTGAAAAAATGTCCATTTTAAGAAAAAAACCCCAGTAATAATTATTCTTTTGTGGGTGTGACAAATAACGATAAATAGATATAGATAGAGTACATATACTTTACATATATTTTATATAACAATTAAGTTTGTAATAGAAAATGTACTATTTAATTAAATGAGTAGAGTATACAAAGGACAAAAACCAGTATACTACGTATATATAAATATATATACACACTTTGTACATGTAATAATCACTAAATAAAAAGAAAATATGAGCAAATTTTATTCATTATAAATATTATTATACTATCATAATGACAATAGTTATTTATATTTTTAAATATTTATACATATTATCGATAATATTCAGTTTATACAATGTCTATATTGTATCTTTACTACCTATACATTAAATATATTAACCTTTATTGTTTCTATTCGAAATTCTTAAGATAAAGTTGTCAAAAAATTTCTTTACGACTAAAGAGAAGAACAAAGAATGGAAAATATCTAGAAAATTTTTATAAGACAAAAGTGAATATAATAATTAGGTTTAATAAGAGAAAAGTGCAACTCATATCACTTTCTATTGTACCTATTTAAATATTAGTCAAAGAATTGACTTCTTTCTGTTTTTATTTTATTCCTTTTTTATTTTCAAGTATCTATTACTTTTCCTATAAATATATAAATATATATAAAGAGTTTATATATCCATCTTCTTCTTTAATGCCTTAAGATTAATTTACTTGTAATAAAAGCAGATAATTTTCTCCGTATCTTTTACTAAAATTTGGAAAATGAAATGACCATGAGATAACAAATTAAAAATTGAATTGTTCATTAGATTGGAAAAAGGGAATATAAAGAGAATCGTAATAATAAATAAAGTATAATTATAGATTATGATTATGTCATTAATCAGTTATATAAAAAGCTTTTATTCGTATAGTTATCCCTAAAGAAAAAAATCTTTCTATTACTCGAAGGTCGTTGTTCAGCTAATTATGCACGTTTACGACAATTTATTTCTTACTAAGTATTACGTATAGCCATCCTCTTTTTCCCGTCTTCTATCTTTCCTTTTTCCCGCTTACTTCCTCTCTCTCTCTCTCTCTCTCTTTCTAGCCCAGCTTTCGACATATACTCATTTTGACTCAGTTTTATTTTCTAGCACTTTAATAATGAAATATAAAAGATTAAAATCAGACAAGATATATAATGGTTACTTGCTCATTCGTAAATATAAAAAAAAAGTACTAGGAGGAATAGGTGAAATATTTGAAACGTTTGTTCGAAAAAAAAGAAGAGAGTTTTAGCTGTAAATCGATATCAGAGTACTGGGTAGATGTGTACAGTCAAGAATCTGCGTGTCAGCATTAGATGTTATTTAAAGGGAGAAAGAAGGTGTTGGAGGAGAAGAGAAGAAGGTAGGGCTGTGGAAGAATAAGCAGGGGGTCAAGTGGGAAATGATATATCTCTAAACGCATGTATATTCTAAAACTTTTACTTTTTTTATAGTATAAAGTAGACATTTTGAAAGGACAAAATTATATTAATGTAAAAGAGAATAGAATCAGATATAGAGTTTTTCATGCCTGATATATTATTAGATATATATGTACTACATAGAGCAAACCATAAAACATATAACCCCAACTATGCCTTTGCAAATATAACCTTATAATATATCTAGTGCAAAAAGAACAAAAACTCCTGCTATTTTCCTTACTATATTGTTTTAATAGTTATTACTTATTAATTAAAAAAGAGTAATAATTTTTCAATTATGAAGTACATAGATCAATTCAAATATCATTAAATTAAATTGTATATACACTAAGGTTTTATATTAATATTTAATAACGAATTTATGGATTTTTTTTTTAAATTTCCCCTATTTTCCCCCGTAAACATTAAGGATAAAAATATTTTAATCTTCCTTTTCAAGCCCTCCTTTTCCCTTCCCGCTTTTTTGTCCTTTGTTTTATATATTTTTGATATATCATTTCGTAACAATTAAAATATCATTATGTCAAACAATTAAAGTTTTTGTTAATAAAGAAAATGGGTGTGTGCGTGTGTGTGTGTTTGTGTGTGTCTTTTAAAGGTATCACTTAGAAAAATGATGTACAAAAAAAGAGAGAGAGAGAGAGAGAGAGTGAAGGGAGGGGAGGGGAGGGGAGGGGGGCAGCATGGAATAATATAGATTAACTTTAAATGTAAAAGAAAAGACAAAATTAAAAAAGATAATCTTGCGAATACTTATGTATATACAGTATTTATACTATATATTTATATATATGTATGTACAATGTTTAATAATATTGCCTATTACTATTCTAATTTGACAATTTATACATTTATAATATATATATATATATATATATATATATATATATATATAAAAGATCGAATAGGTGCTTAGCTATTGGGGAAAAGGTTTATTTTAAATTGGAATTGATAGGTGCAGCAACAGAAGGAAAATACAAAAGAATAAAAGAGTTGGGCGTAGGGGAAAAAAGTGAGAGAGCGATAGAGCGAAAGAGCGAAAGAGCGAAAGAGTGAGAGATAGATAGGATGAGGAAGAATATTACGGTAAAAAGAAAACGAATATTAAAAGAAAAATATATTTATGCTGCCTATTTATTCTTCTTCGGAGCATAATTTTGTATTTGTTAGTTTTTAGATAAAACAGCTAATTAATTCCCTAGTGGCGGGAAAAAAATTACTCAGTACTTGAGAAAAATTATAATCAATGTACTACGACGATAAGAATCGGTTCGCATATATCTTAGATAATTAGATTACGGTATTTGTCTTATCAGGCGTACTGCATTTATTCTAATAATTATTTTACTATTAATTTTCGTACTCGTTCAGATTTCTTCATTATCACATGATTTTATTTTAAGTTATGACACACAGATGGCGTACGCTTATTAAACTATATCTGTGAAAATACGATAGATTATGAAACAGAGACAAGAATAGCTTACGCAAACAATACTTTCAAAGGGAACTACAAGAATTGAATTGAATTTTATGATTATTAAGAGAGAGGGAAAAGGAGTAAAAGAATTAGATAGAGAGAAAGGGAAAAACAATGAAAAAAACTTACGAGGTAAAGTGTGAATGAGGGAAATACGTAAAATAAGAGAGAAAAAAGTGAGATTAAGGTCAAGGTGTTGGAGGTAATATTATAAGATATGTAATATTGCTCCTCAGAAGAAGAGTGAAAGGGTTAAACAGCAAATAAACGGTTGCTAGATGAAAATTTTTTATCCTAGCCGAAGGCGAGAACAAACATTGTAATCGAAACCAATAATGTTGTATCGTGATGGGGGAATTGATGCCTTATTTTATAATTATTATATTTACAAAGTATCTATACTAATAATGTCATAGATTATTAATATATTAAAAAAGAGAGGATATTTGGGTAAATTAGGCCTTTATCTTGCATGAAAAATTTGAATAGATAAATATTCGTTGCCACTAGTTCATTCATTAAATCATGATGTAAGTAATTGTTATATTTTTTTTTTATATATAAAAGAGTTTATAGAAATGTCTACATTTCGAGGAAATTAATGTCAACAATTTTTTACAAAACTGTTGAAATACATATAAAAGAAAAAGAAATCATCTATTAGAGAGAAAAGAAAGGAGACGCTTATTATGACTTGACCTTATCATCTAATTAACTAAATACCGCCTCCTATCTAATAATCGTATTATAAAAGACTATATTAAGTCAACAAGGACTATTACACTTGGTAAATAATACATCTATGTACTGTACTATAGCATATGATAATTTGCATACTCAGTAGAATATATTAAAGCATATATTGTATATATTCTACTATATCTACTACAGATGTACTGTATATATATATATATATATATATACTGTATATTAGTATATTGGTGATGTATGGGATGATATAAACTTATATATACTAATACATAAGTATATATGTTTTGTATATAATATATTGTTAATACGGTTTATATACATAAATGAATAGAATAGAGTTACTTTAAAGAGTTAATTGCGGTATATGAAAGAGTTTCATGATAAATCAGGCTTACTTAATATATTATATAGATTTGTGTGGGTGGTTATTTGATATAAAGAGAACTAACATCCGTTTAACTTTTAGAATTGTTTTTCAGAGATTTTCTAGGAAATTATTAGTAAATTATTTAAGAAATGTTTTGTTTCCAAAAGAACAAGTCATTAAAAAAGCAACAATCTATTGTTATTGTTATGATTTATAGTTGTTATTATTATTAGATATTATTCAAAATGTCCTTATTCTTTCTTTTAATATACTCTGTACATTTTGAAATATATATTATAAGTTTTAAATATGATTTTGATATCTTCATGATTAATATAAACATGAATTTTTTTCTCTTCTCATGTTCTCAATGATCAGAAGCCTGTATCTCAGATGTACAATGCCTATCCACATTCAAATGCTTATAAGTCGCCTTCTTTTACTGGGGCATCCTCCGCTAGTCCCTCAGGACGGAGCGACCAACTCCTACTCGTTCCTGAACTTACGTCCACATATACTTCTTCCTCATGCCTTTCAGTGCCGTCAACACTGGCCGTTGGCCAGGCATTCGATATGGCTAGACGGACTTCCAGTGGTTGTTCATCGATATTTGATTTAACCTCCGAGGGAGAGGCTCTTGAAAGAGCTATCCGGGACAATGATACACGCGCCACCAAACGGATAATCGAACAACATCCAGCTGATAGGAGTAGCAGGTACGTGACAACTACAAGTACTCCAAGAGAGTACTTTCACAACTAGAAAGATAAACTTTTACCATTCGCTATTTATCGTCTATAATGATTAGTGAAAAAATATCTGCCTTTTTTAGCGAAAAGTTTATATTATACCTAGACGCCATCTGCCAGCAGTTATTAAAATTATATTGCAGATCATCAATAGTATATTGACCAAAAATTATCTATGTTTAGCATTATTAAAGACATATGAAGATTCTTTACGTAATAGATATGGTTAATCTTTTCTACAACAATTATGATAAAACCGCAATATAAAAAGGGGTGAAAAAAGCTTCAACAGCTCCTTCTTTAGCGAAATGTAATGCCTCTATTTAAAGTATAAACAGCGAAGAGAAAAGGAAAAGAATAAAAGAAAAAAGGAAGAAAGAAAGAGAAATATGGAGATAGACAGAAAGTATAGAAGATATAAAGCTTTTACCTAGTGAAATATTAATCCATAATCCTAAAGTTATGATAATCTCCTCTTAACTTGTTATATTGAATATTTGAACGATTTATCTTTAATGTATTGTTTATTGTATAGAGTATATTAATTAATGTGTATATAGCGTATAGAATTATATAAACATTATGTAAAAATTATAGTGAAGCTTTAATGATTTCTTTTTTCAAACGAATTTTCTAATAATTATAGTACATCCTAGGGGTAAGAGTTTATTAGTGTGGCATACATACTTGGACTTTGTTCGTGCTGCTGGGCATTTTTTTTTCATCCATGACTTTGGAATTCTCTATATAGAGAATGGTGTGTAAGCGATAGGGGGGTGGAGGGTAGGAGAGGAAGTTAAGGTCATGAACTTTTTAGGTTTGCTCATAATAGCCGTACAAAAGAGAAACGGCTACACTTAATTAAAAGAATAGCATTCAGCTAAATTATTTTGTAATTTTTCAGTTGGAGTAGTGGTCCGTATGGTAGTAGTGCTGTTAGTGGGGGTGGGAGTGCTGGAGCTAGTGCACCTGGAAGTTCGGGCAGCGGAGCAGGAGGAATAGACCGAAGAGAAAGCTATGATCCTGGTAGTGCACTTCATGTAGCTGTTCAACATGGAGCTAAGGATGTACTTGAACTTCTTCTTAAGTTTGGCCTTGATCCTAACGATCCAGGCTGCCCGCTCGGTGCCATACCAAGAGGTGGCGCCGTGGATAGTGAAAACTGCAGCTCAGCATCCAACTTCCCATTCGATGTACTCAAGTGTCTACCGCCCTTATTTTTGGCTGTTACGGAAAAGAGGTGAGTAGAAGGAAGAGAGAATAAAAAAAAGCATCTTTTAGGGAAAACTACTTTAGTAGCGAGAAGAAAAACCTTTTCCCTTCGGAAAAAAAGTAAAATCGAACTGTTTCAGACAATAATCCGCTAACATTTCTTAAGTAAAACCTTCGAATTGCGGTAATTGTATAATTGATGCCGTAAAAGAGGCTTGTATTTTGGACTTTAGTAAAGATAAAGCAAAAATTGAAATTCACTGGTTTTTAGTCGTTAATTTATATGATATATTTTTCTTTGATTTTAAATTTCTTGGAATATCCTAGTCACGTAATTTGATTGGATATTCTTTAAGTAGTCACATTTCTAAATAATGTGAAATTCTCCTCATTTGTTGCTCTAGAAACGAATTAATATTATAAAGAGAGAACGCCATTCTGGAATTAGTTTATTCCCGATTAATTGCAGCTGCTTAATGCCTACCAACGATAGCTGGGCCACGCAAACCGAAATAAGTTATTAAGGGTAATTAAATCGACCTCTAGATGGCGCTACTTAACATTTATTTTTGCTTAAAAGCTTTCTATTACCCTTCGAGAAATCTTAGTCTCTATTAGGTTTTTACTTAATTTATTAAACAGCTCTTCTGTTCGAATTTCTTAGGTCGTGGTTAGAATAATGTCTAAATTTGCAATTATTCTTAATTAATAATTAATACACGATAAGAAAAGGTATTGATAAGGCAATGTTACATTCTATCCTTTTTCAGGCCTAATTGTGTGAGAGTTTTGCAAAGTCACGGAGCGAATCCTAATATTCGTGATTCTCGAACTGGATGTTCTCCATTGCATTTAGCCGCCAGTAACGCTTTCAGATGCGCCGATTGCGCGAGAGCGCTTCTGTCAGGTGGCGCCCGACTCTGTTTAGCCGACAGAAGCGGAGTAACGCCTCGGCAATTACAACCCGAACTCGTCGAGGAGCAGCGACGTTTAATTTACGACGCCTTGGCTAGGATCGCCACTTCCGCTTATTTGAGTGTTATACCTCAGAGTTCAGGTGATACTGGTGGTGACTCGCTCTCCATAGGAGCCCGATTTTTTCGACGACTCGGCAGCGACTATTCTAGACAAAAAAGAAGTAAAGACTCTGCTAGTGATTACGGACCTAGTACTCAAAATAGGGATAGGACCTCGTCCTTAACTTCAGCTAGGTCGAGGTGGAGTCTTAACTTTCGTTTCTCGGCTTCACCGCCACCTAATTCCTATAGAGAGGAGAGTATGTGCGAAATGGAACATTCCTGTAGATCTTCCGATCCCGAAAGGGTAAGTTTTTTTCATTTTACTCATATATTCATTCTCTGTACCTGTTTTGCCTGGGGAAATTTGTTTACCTGTTTAAGCCTAACAGATTGTTGAGTATTTGTAGAAGTAGAGAGGCTACCCAATCATTAGTATTTGATTATATCACTGATACGGAATAGATAACTCAAAATAAGTAGGGCTGGTTCTTATATCAACAACCTTGCGTTGAAGGGGAATAGGAATTGATGGCTTATTAAAAACTCATTTTGGATATTTTTCAATATTCGTCTCTTTGTTTTATATTTTATTTAGTAAGAATAAATCGGCAAAAATGTAAGAGACCATTTGCCAGCGTCTAAATAACTATGTTATCTAGGAAAAAAATCATTAATTATATATGGACGGCCAGAGAACGGAAGTATATAGCATAAACTTTACGGTCGAGACGTTTTTGACTGAAACTGATTAATATTTACATTTAATTTCTATTCCTTTTACCCGATTTTTTTAAAAATAGAAACTATCGAAGAAGAAAGAGCAGATTTAGCCTAATACTTCTATATAACAAGTCTTCTCTCTTCTATTCTTGTTTTTTTATTTGCAATAGTCGTTATTTCATTCTCCGGAAGGAAGATGCTAGCAAAATGTTACAATTTGATCTATAAAATCAATACTATACCTATTTAAATAGTAAAAAAAAAAAGAAAAAAAAAGGGAAACGTCAGCTCTCATGGAAAGAAGATTAGGAAAAGCTAAAGAATTTAAGATGCAAAAAAAGAAAAAATAATAAATAATTTAACAAAGTTCACCAATTAGAAACAAATTCTTTATATTTAGATCGTTTTTTATGACGAACTTTCCTTATAAATGAATAGTTTAACTAGGTGGTAATTTTCTCTTTTTTACATCCAATTTTTATAGTAAGTTTATACAGCTCTTATGACTTTTCTCTTTTTTCATTATTCATAAGATATATGGTTGAAATTCTATCTGATATTTGGAGAATAAGGGAGGAAGAGAGAAAAAGAGAATGGAATAGAGAGTAGTAGTACAGATAATACAGTATATATATATATATATATATATATATATTTAGTTAAAGGACAACATTAGAGAAAACTAATAACACTAGAAAATATTGGACTAGATGTAAAAGAGGGGCAGGTATGAGTTTAAGGTAGAGAGAAAGGAAATATATATCTATGCAGTATTGACTCAAATCGTATGTAATCACGTGACTACCGTAGAAAAATATGCCAATAAATTACTCACGAAGTCGGTTTATTTCGACTACAGAAATGAGACGGGTGCTATCCGTCAATCGACGATACTTAAGTTGAATATCTGTACACCAACGCCGCTTTTCTCCTCTTCAGAAACCGTGTTAGTTGCTATTTTTGGAATTAAAGAATCCGGCTATTCTTTTTTATCCTGTGGTGAAAATGCTAAAGAATTCTCCCTTTTTGCTAATCTAGCAACCCTTTACTACCGCTTTTACTTCTCTTCCTTTCTTTCAATTTCGGTTATTAGTAGAGTTTTAATATTGACAAAAAAAGGGAATAAAACGGCCAATAGAACCAATCAATGTTCGTAATTCAGAAACCAACGCCATCGATAAAAAATCCATCTTTTTACTCACACTCTCCTAGATAATATATAAACCGCTCAAGGCGTCTAATCTTCGACTAAAAGCGTCTCTTTAGGCCTATAAAAAAGAAGGAAAATAGAAAATCACCTAGTAAAGTCGATAGGGATCATCTAATTATAATAGTTGTGTGTAAAATGAGATGCACTTAGAGCCATGACAAAACCATGAAATTAATGTTGCGTAAAATAAAGCATTATATAAATAATTTCATATGATATTGTTTAGTATTAATAAATATATCAATAAAGAAAGACAAAATATTCCGTACTACATCTATAAATTATATATTGACTTTCCATTTTACTATATAAACTATTTAAGAAAGTAGACAAAATTCCTAAAAGAAAGAAATAGAAATAATAAAAAGAATACGTTATCAAGAACAATTGAATCTACTAATCAGACTGGCTCATAAAATACCTATTTTGGTTTATTTAATAACGTATTTAATACCTTATTAAGAGAGGATTGGGTATCGTTAAGTGAATTGAGTAGGACCGTTTCATTTTTTTGCTCTAATAAAAATTTATTCCGTCTTTTTTGTTTTTTTTTCATAAATTTATTACTTTTTATTCTATTTAATTAACCCGGCTTTAAACTTTTTGACCTTTACATAGGGCTTAATTTTGTTGATAAATTATAAATTAGTGGAAAATTTATGAAAGATAAGTAATGTTAATTAACAATATAGAAACACGATTAACTACATTCCTCTTCTTCCTTTTGCATTTGCATAATCAAAAGAGTGAATGTCTGCTAAAGTAACGTACATCAAAGCATAAAAAATGTATAATAGAAAAACAATGAGAAACATCTACACGAGTGGGACGGATAAGAGTGGGAGGCGGGGAGAGAGAGAGAGAGAAAGATAGAAAGAGAGAGAGAGGATATTAAATGTTAAATATAGGCTGTTTTTTAATTCTATATACTATGTATTACATGTATTATATTATACAGTATATATTTAAGCATAACTATACAAAATATTTTCTTTTATTAATTAAATAGTCTACCTGATTAGAAATACGTTTGATAAAGCATTTAAAGAAAATGATATATATATATATATATATATAGATTTATGTATGGAACTAAATATTTCTTCTTTAAATATATAATATTACAGATGCTTAAAAATTAAGCCCTTCATAATTGATTAATTATAATGAAATTTTTCAAATGATGTCGAAATTGATACTATACAGATTGTGGCCTGTTTCTAGGTGTATTCATTTCAAATAAGTAAATACTCATTAAATATACTGTATATACATTTATAGTTTTAAACAAAATCAATCATTTAATTTATTCTTTATTAAAGTAATAAATAAAGAATTAAATAAAACACGCTTGAATGTACACTTTTCTTATATATATATATATATACATGCATATATACTGTATATGTTAATATATTATATAGTAGGAGAGTACCCCCCCATCCTTTCTTTTAACTTTCGCATGAGAATTTTCTACATAAGAAAATCTTGTTGTAAATATAAAGCACTATCAGGCAAGAATAACCTGTAGAAAGTTCGTGACTTTTAAAATAGCTCTAGAAAAGGAGATTCCATCACCCGCTATTACTCATCCTTTTATAATGGATTATCATACGAGAGTCTCTTCGTGTTGGATTGTTAAATTTTTTTGCTCGAATTTCACTTCTAGCTAGTGTAATTCCTAATTACAATATTCTATCTCATTTTTTTATGCATAAGACGTTAATTTTCATATTTTTATAGCTGTAATAGCAATAGTTTCTTTTCATAAAAAAAAGACATATAGTAAACGAATCGTGATCTCTTTTCACCTCACTTATATCTATTAGAAAATTTAGTAAGGAATATTCGAAAACAACGGACTAATTTCTGCACGTTGCATGGATGTAAAAAATTCTATTAAAAAAAGTACAAACAAAACACAAGTAATGTTATTTATTATAAGTATGGGATAAAAAAAAAAGAGGAGGGAGGGAGGGGAGGGAGGAAAAAGAGAGAAAATGAAGGGGAATGAGAGGAGATATAATTTTTTTATAATTTGGCTAGAAAGAGAAATTACTGTTGGCGTGTTTAGTAAATTTTTTTTATATTTATCAATATAGGTTAGTTTTTATTCAAAGTAAACTTTGAAAGAAAAATTGGCTGTGGAGTTCGATGAGTGTATTCAGAATATGGATATTTATAGCGGAAGGGCTAGAGATTGAGAGAAAAATTTCCGAGTGAGTATAGAGACAGAGGGAATTTTTTCCTAAGAGGGAAAAAAGAGAGACACATTAACAGAAGAATGATACACGAGTAGGAGCAGAGAAGGTGCAATATGTGGGAATTTACTTGGAGTTTACTAAAATAGCAAATTGGAAGTGTTCGAAAATTAGAACCAATTGAATAGAATGTTCCGTACTTAAATCGCTTTGCACGCAATAAAACACAAGAACACAAGGGAAAGAAAGGCACTGTTAAAGGAAAAGACCTGTTAACAATTGAAAAAACGCTTTTAGGCATAGTTAAGGACTAAGACTTATACAGAGAGAGTAGAGGACAGATGGAGCGTTATCTTTATTAAGTCGAAAAAGAGAACAGAAACAGATAGACATTTTTCTTTTATGCCCACTGACTTTCTCCTACTATATGCATTTGATTTCTCTTTTAAATAGAATGTCACGTGACAGAAAAGGGAGGAAAGAAACATAATCACAGAAAAAAAATTTGTTCGATTTTTAAATAACTGCTACCATGGTAACAAAAAATTGTTTTGAGTACTTTTGTACAAAACAATTTTTTTTCGTGGGCCTATTAATTATATTAATTATTTTTTTAAAAACTTTGTAACTCCTAATTAGTGACAGAAAAAATAATTAGAAAAAATATCACGTGATCAAAAGATAACAAAAGGAAATATAAAAAAAGAAAAGAAAAGAGAGATATTTTTGGTATTCGCATAGTTTCTCGAAGTATACAGTAAAGTTAGATAGGAGAAAATAAAAAAAAACAACCACGTTCCGGTCATTATTAAATGCCAAACAGAGTATTTTGATTTCAATGGTAAAAGCTTGTTTATATTCATGTATTTGATTTGTTTAAAAGGAGAAAAAAAATTGATATATTAGCATCTTATAGCATCTTGTATTGGATTTTTCTTTTTTAATTATAAAGTATAAAAGTGTCTTTAATAATCAACTAACTAGTTCATATTTACTCCTATATATATATATATATACTGTATAAATTTATATATGAGAATATATAAATGTATGTATTAAGGACGGTAAAGAGGACTTAACCGAAAAGAAATATGATTATATTTGCTAATCATATTGGAAATAATATTCTATCAACTGGTACTAATTGGGAAAATTATAGTGGAAAGCAACTATGGCCCTTTTTTCTCTTATACTCTTTCTCGTCTTTGTTATTACTGTATTTCAAAGAATAATTTAATTAATATTCATGTTAAATCAAATTATCACAAAATAACTCAAAGAATTATTGATAACAATTGTCTAATGTGAGAGTGTATAGAACGATTTTATAGGATCCAAACAAAACTCTCCTTGATCATAAAGGACAATAAAAAAGATCGTGTGACCGCAACCTGAGCTAGTTAAAATAATGGCTTTATGGAGCTATATGCTCCCCGTACTTGCTCCTCTTAAATGCAATAAGAAAAGCCACGTGACCAACAACCTAAGCTAGTTAAAACAATGGCTTAGCAATCGGAACTGTCAGCTCGAGAGGTCAGCTGATCAAATAGAACCGTCTAGGACTGTTATACTGCTAATTTTTAAATGGAACGAGAAACGGTAAATCATTCAAAAATAGATGATGACTCTACATACGAACAACATATAAACTCTATATAGATCTTCTAAAAGTAAACAAATGACAAGTTTAGTTGACAGAACATCAAGGGATAGTTTAAAATATTCCTTTTCGTTTTTTTTATATCTTTAGGGTAGATGCAAATAAATATTCTAATAAAAATAGTTTTTATGCCTTTTGTAATCGTAATAGACGCATGTTAAATATATAATCAAGCTTTGGCCTATTTGGTTATTAAATATATGTATATTGTTGAAAAAAATATGTACTCTATTGGCAATTTATTCGAATTTGTATATATATATATTTATATAATTACTGTAGATTTGCATATGTAAAATTGTTTTTTTTTAAATTGATTGTATTGTTCATGGGAGAAGCTTGATAAAACCAATGATAGCGTTAAGGAAAACCTTGGGGTTTTTTTCCCATAACCGCCGCGTCTTTTTTCCTATTGATTTTTCGCCTTCTCGCGTATAAAACAGGGCTTTATCCTTGTACAGAAGCGTTCAAGGCCATTAGTCTTTTTAAGGAGGCGAATAAAGTAGAATAGTTAGTTTGTAGGGAAGATATACAACTATAATTGGTACCTTGTATAGTTAAAAATTAAAATTTTGTCCTGTATTAAAGAGAGGAATACGTTTCTCTTATACTAGACTTATTTAGACGGCCGGAAGAAAAGTCGCAGGCTTATATTGAAAATCGTTAGGAATTTTATTTGGTTGGTGGCCGCCTGATTTTTCTTGTTTAACTGGCTGTCTAAATGATATTGACTCTTGTTATATATACAGTATATATTATACATATACAATCTATACAAACATACTGTACATAGGTATACAAATATCCATGTAAATGTATATACAGATACTGTACATATATATATACTATATATAAACATATATATATATATATATATATATATGCTGTATATTAGTATCTACAATATCTACACTTTATATGTATACACAAACATCCATACAATATAATATGTCATATGGTATATAGATAAATCTATAAATGCTCTAATACAGAAATATATTTGTGTACTCACGTGCTCTTATAAATTTTTATTTATTTCTCTTTTTTATTATGCTAATTATGTAAAACAAGGCTATAAACAGCTACTTCCGAAAATAATCACCCAACTAACCCAAGGCTCAATTGACCAGTGAATTACTTATTAAAAAGAAAAGAGCTGTTGATTCTATTCTAAAAGGGCTGTGACGTCATTTACGAATGATGAAAGTAGAAAAAAAAATCTGTTTGCTTTCTAATAATTTTCCTATTTTTTCCATTACTCTTTCCATTCGCATTACCGTTATTTTTTTTTCGTTCTTATAACTCTTTTTAAACTGTTAAGAGAGCCTTCAAAAACCATATGCATTCATTTATTTATTCATCTATATTAAAATGTAACGGTTTCATAATCGATTTTTGAGTGGCTATTTTCCGCAAGAGAGGAGGCGACGTCCCTATTATTAAGCTTTCAAGTATCCAATGCCAGTGGATCCAAAACTAAAAAAGAATTACAGATAGCCTCCTTAAGCTGAGGCATCTCAAAGAGAGAGAGAGAGAGGAGGGGGGGTCTTTTTTTCTTTTAGAATAAAACTTAGAAGAAAAAACAAAGATTACCTAATTTAACTGAAGAGATAGAAAAATAAATATATATGTTTTTTTTCCTATTTAGTCGATTTGGAAAAGTAAAACTTTTTCCAAATCGAGAAAAACCGTGATCAAAGAAGTTGATTGTATTTCGTGACAAGGCAACACAATAAACTGAACAAAATAGTTTGTCACACTTTGTCGTAAAGCTATACGGTGCTTGGTTTCTTTTTACTTTTGTTTGTTATTTCTATAGTAAAGAGAGAAAAGAGTTGGTTAATTTTGTCTTGTTAGTTTCAAGTAAAAGTATTTAGAATACTTTTTTTTAAAACAATAATTGAATAAGAAAAGAAAAAGTTATTCTTAAAAAAGAGCTGTTTGTTCCCAATAAAAAGAAAACAAAAAGTCTGAAAGGTGAAAAGTGATAGCGAGGGAAGAAATTTATAGTAACGTGATAGACGCTATGTGTACGGTTGAAGAGAATCTATTTTTTTCCATTACGTAAACCTCAAGTAAAAGAGGAGGAAGAAGAGACAGATAGATGCATTGACGGATGGATGGATGGATGGATAGAAGAGAAAGAAAGAAAAAGAAAGAAAAGGGGAAAGAGAGGAGAGACAAATAGATAGATAGTGAGATAGAAAGAGAGAGGGGAGAGGTGGGAGGAGAGACATAGACAGAAAGAAGGAAGAGAAGAGTCGGAGAAAGTAAAAGATGATAGGAAATTCAGCAAAACTAAACTAATACCTATTGTATATCTATATATTGTATTAGCATGTGCCTATTAAGTATATTATACAAAATATGTAAGTAAAACTATGAATTTTTTATCTTTAGTGACGTAATTTAAAAGTATTTTATGTATTTTCCCGGGGAATATAATAGTTGATAAGCTTTCATATGCTCAGTATTTTTCATTTCTTCGCATATTTTCTTTATTTCCCTATTGATTTGAAAAAAAATAGAAAAGAAACCCTTTCTATATTGTTAACCAATAATAAAGTGTAAGCTAGGTAAGAAGAAAAGACGTCTAATGTCTAGTTTAAAGCGAAAGAAAGACGGAAAGACTTTTTCTTCCCCACCCGTTTCGGAATATAATTCGGCAGAGTAAACATGAAGGCCAATAAAGAATGAGAATTGCGTCGATAAGACGGTAAATATGAAACGATCGTAATCAGTCGGTTCTGACATGAAACTTATGGCTGGTATTTCGCTCGTTTAAAACTTAATAAAGACTATTAACTAGAAAAGTTACCATTGGAATACATATATATATATATATATATATATATATATATATATATATATATGTATAAAAATACTTATACTGTTATATATACAAGCGGACCATTTATATCGTTTACATCTGTTTGTAATTGTAAAAATTCTAGTTTTTTCTACCCCCGCTATTTTCTTAAAATCGGCCACGATTTCTACGAAAAAAAAAAGTTAAATCCACAAAATCGTATCCGATCATGCGAAAAACGGCTTTGGTTGATCCAAAGATAATCGCTTTAGAATCTTTTTTCAGGTACAGTCTCATTATCTCCCCGTTTACAATTTCGACTTGAATTGCTGGCAATTAGAATAACAGGAATAACATATCGTTGAGATAGAAAAATTGCCCTTTGATAACTTCCACATCCTATTTTTTCCCTTTTGTTTTAAAAATAAAATTCCCCTATTTCCTTTTTATCTTAGTTTAATGATTCTATTTTAATTTTTAACTAGTTTATCATGTGAATTTGCTGCGTCCAGAGACTGCCATTAGGGCTGTCAAAGCAGCAAATATTGCATTTGTACATAATGTATAATAATGCACTTATCCAGGCACTCACTCTCTATGTCTCAGATGTATCTTAGTGCGTTATTTTACTATCCTTGTTAAATTTATCAATCTTTTCCAGGAACCTCTAACCAGTGAACGATCAAGCCTAATTGCAAGATCTCGATTAGGTTCTAGAAAAAAAACTGGTAGCAGACCTAAATTTCAAGCTTCCGACCCGCCTACTGGTAAGCATTTTTTTACTTTCCTATCCTTCATTTTTACAATCTAACTACACAAAAAAAACCCGATGGAAAAACACGTAATTAAGATATAGTTTTTTAAATTATTAATTAAAGTATAGAGTTATAGAATATGCGTAAAATATAAGAGAAAAGGAGCAATCGTTTCTATGGAAATAGAAATAAAGAGTAGAAAAATACAAATTGCAAAAACTGCATTCAGCGTTTCCTAACGATTAGTGCACAGTTGACGTCATGAAAATTTCAGTAGTCGGAGGAAACGCTCCCTACGTGGCTTCAGAAGTTCAGTTCATTCAGTTAGAAAATTGTTACGTTTAAGCTTCCCTAAACTAAAAATCAGTTAGGATTCTTGGCAATTTAGTACATTGATAAAGATGCGTTCGATTGCCAAATCATTATCTTTTCTTTTGTCTTTGCCTCTTCATGCATGCAAGCATATATAACAAGCATACAGTATATACTGTATATATATCGTATAGAGTTATATAAGTCGTATTTGAAAAACTAATTAATTAATGCATTGTCTACAACTGTAAATACGTGCAATTAAAAGAAGAAGAAAGGATATAATATTGGTGTGGGTGGAAAACGAGGAGGAGGAATAGGAGTAAAGACAGAGAAGAAACATTACGAATAATTGCTATAAAAATGAAACAAAAAAACAAACTATCTTTGATGGTTATTAAGAGAACTACAGAAGAGTTAGGCTCATAAATCACTGTTAATTTTAGCTTGTAGCCAATTATATAATAAATAGGCCTATGCTGGGCTAATATGTGATATTGCTGTCCATATGGCTATTGATCACGATACCCTAGCGTCTAATGGGTATGTCGGTTTGATTGAGTGGAAATTAACTAGTTCAAAAATGGGCCACCCATCTTCCTTTAATTGCTCACTGATAGTTTATAAGTTTAATCGAGTAAATATATATCCAACATCAATACCTATATACTTAACTATAATATACATATATATATATTAGTATATATATTTATATATATTTGTGTCTGCATTTCATATTTATGTCTAGTGAATATGTGATATATTTTAAACATTTATTGAAAATAGAGTGCATGTCAACTTTCGCATAGTATTGAGTATCTCTCTCCGCATAACTTTTAATATATAAATATATATAAATATTATAATATAAACGTAAACCTAATATTCGTACTTAAATAAATTCCTTAGTATTTAAATATGTATACAGTATCCTTATTCAAATACTTGTTAATTAAAATAATTAACTGAATTAATATACCGTATATATATATATATATAAAGTCCGTACAATATACTATATATACAGTATATATATATATATTCGATCGATGTGATAACCTGCAATCGCAAATTATTGGATAATATAGCATCATGTCAGATGCTAGCGACATCTGCACGCGTGCTTAGAATTCTAGGAATCAAAATAACCAGTATAACTAGTTAATATTCTTTATTCCTTATTTAACATATATATATACTTTATAAGAGGAAACAATTCTTTTTATATCTTAATAATACAAAATTCATTATCAAATAATAAATAAAAAGAGAAAATATAGGCCATAATAGGTTGTCTTGCCTAACTGAAGGTTGGTTGAACTTAATACCCTTTTAGATTTTTTCTTAGGTTATAAAAAGCAATTTTTTTTCTTTCTCTACGTTAATGAACTGACTAAGGAACTTACAAAAAATTCGTAAATATACCACTTGTGGCGTAAATTCTTGTAAATTAATCAGAAAAATGTCGTGGTTTTCCTCCTATATTCTCTTTTTCTTCCTTTTATTTCTTTCTCTATTTTCACTTGCCGTTTTCTTTTTAGTCGCAAAAAAATATTCTTTTTTATTTTACCTCATCAAATAACAATTTATCAAATCTAGGTGTCGCTGAAATCGATTTTTTAACGCTCACGAATTTATAGTCCATTCGTGGGACACTTAATTTACTAGGGTGACGCTTACGTAATAAATTGAGGGAAATGTTTGGTGCCGATAGTTGGGAATAAGAAGGAAAGAAAAAGCCATATAGATAAAAGCTTGACATGGGAGAGAATTTGATTTTTATATTCTAAACAAGTCAAGAACTAATATAGAAAATGTTAGAATACATAATGCTAATTAAAAACACCCGAAATTGGTAATATATGGAAAAATATTTGTATGATAATACTATAAAATAACAGATGTCGCTGTTTCTGTTTTTTGCAAAGAAAGGAAAGGAAATAAAAAGGGGTAGGGATGGAGGATAAATAGGTTATTCAATTTCAAAAAAGAATGGACATTTTATGTATGAAATTAGACATTATTTCCCTTTATGTTTATTGACTATCAACACTTGTTTATTAACTAAATAAGAATGACGCCATCCTTCCATCATCGTATTAGCGTTACTTAAATGTCGTTTAGAAGTAATTTAACTAATTGGCTGTAGTAATTGGTAAGAATTTTGTAATAGATAAAGTAAGTATATAAGTATAAGATGTCAACTGGTATGCTTTTATTACGAAAAATAAAACTATGCTTCTTTTTTTTTCTTTCGTTAATGGTTTACGCCATCCTCAATAGAAATGCTTATAAATCAGCAATATGCACCATTTCACTCATATGGTTGCATTTTTTTTATACTTGTTTGATCTTTGTTTATTCACATTTTTTAGACACTTTTAGACACCTATTTACATCTTGATTAACATTTAATATGTAGGCCTTTAATAGGAAGATAATACGTCTGGTTGGTTTATAGCTTTGTAGTAGATTTTGTTCTATTTCTTTCTCTTTCTTTTCCCTTTCACTTAACATTTTAATATATATATTTGTGTGAATATAAAGAAAATGTCTTTTAGATGAATTAAGAGCAATATATACAAAAAATAATAATACAAGTTGACAATGTCACATTTGTAATTTATCCAATTGAATAAAGAAATTAGGTAGTTAGCTTTTTTTTCCCCTTTACTGTTGCTATGTATAATATTGATAATCGAGATTAATTTCATGTGCTTTTTTTCCCCTTATATTTTCCATTTATTGTTACTTCAGTTTGAAAATCAGAATGTTCATAATGGTTGGGGAATTTGCCATTTATCACTAAAATCTCCATTTATATCATTTACCCTCCCATTGATGGAGAATAAGAAAGCAAGTTACATGGGCGGAAGTAATTGCATTTCTAGTAATTGCTCTCCCTAACTATGGGATTCAGCTGCAATTTAGAATCCCTAGTTTTCGGCGCATACCGTACCATAAGTATAAGGGAATAAACCACGTGACCGAAGTAATTACGAGAGTATCGTACGGGCGCGCATCAGTCGCCTTTTACAGATATGGATTGGAGAACGGCGAATAGATAATGATTAGTTATAACGGTAAGTACTTGTGAAATTTTCCATGTAAAAAATCAAACATCGGATACTAAAGAATAGAGAATCATTAGAGAAGAATAAAGTTGTAGGCGTTGCGAAAAAAATGCAGTAGTGTTTATATAGACTGTCACGGCTTAGGCTACAGGCTACTGCATTGATTGCATTCCGCACCTGCATGGGTTATCTATTACCTGAAAAAATTCTGTGTTGGGAATGCAAAGAATTTTATACCCTGAAAATGGCCAACTGCAAGGAATTTTTCCCTGTATACAGTTTCTTTTATGTTACTTTGAGGGTTAGAATAGTTTCGAAAAATATTATTTTTATTACGATTCCTATTCACTTCGAAACGCCTATATCAAGGATCGATATTCTTAGAATTAATATGCCGCCACCTAGTGGATAAAACGCCTCTAGACGCCGTGAGGAGAGAGACGGCGGATATCGATAGCGTCTCTCTATGAATTCGGTGAATATCGACAGTTTTCTAGCGCCTGTTATTATTCTCAAGGAATTAGCAGTAACAATGCTAGGTAGGACCGTATTTATTATTTACTACCTTATTTACTAATTACTCTTTTATTCATATTTTTTCCTATTTATTACCTTTTTTCCAGTTTAAAAAAAAAATGACCAAAACTGTAAAACCAAAAGAAAAAGAAAATTACTAAAGGAAAAAACAAAATGTGAAGGAACAATGATTCTTTAATTTTTAACGTTTAAAAATATTTATTCAGTCGCATGTGTAGGCCTATTTAAAAATTTATAGTCGAGATTTTATGCTAAACGGGTGCGATAGCTGTAATTAATTATTTTCCCCACAAACTATCCCTACAGCATGGACGATTTTTTTTGTTTATATTTAAAAGCGAGTCGACTATATACGCGAATTATCGATCGAGTGGAAATTAAAAGAAGCGGAATTAAAAGTTTGCGGGGTTTCGTAGAAAATCTGGAAAAAAACTTGCATACAGTGCACTCCAGTTAATTGCAGACTCTCAAGGGATCAAAAATAGTTTTAATAATCCAGACCGAAAGGCAATTAAGAAAGAAATTGCCTCACTTTAGAGAAAAAGAAAAAATTTTATAAAAAAATTACGAATTAAAATATTATTAGATATAATTATTTAAAGATTTTAATAACTGTGCATTAATTTTCTATAAGTACTTAATTAATTATGAATCCTTTATTAAGTAGTCATCTAATTGATATTTCCTTCTATTAATATATAATATTTAATCATATATTTTAATATACTCTTTTATACGTGCAGTATATAAATTTATATATATATATATATATATATATATATATATATATATATATATATATATATATATATATATACAGTATAATAAACACCATTTTAATAATCATTTAATTCTTTCTTTCTCCGATTTCAACTTTCCCCATCGGTTTTTTTTTTAATGTATCACCTTGAGGTGTATTCATTATATTTTAATTAAGAGAATTTTATCGGAGGCGGAGAGAGGGGGAGGGGAAAGGACCACTCGCATTGCATATCGAGCGGAACCTTGTGAAAAAAAATTCTCGCTTTGACGTTAACTACTTGAGTGTATAATTCGTCTACAAATTTTCCTTTTTCTCTCCCTTTTAGAAGCCAACTCGGCTGAAATGGTAGAAAGGTCTTTGCAGACACTTATGAAGACTGCAATGAATCCGGAGTGTATTGCGTCCTTGTTGGAAGGTTTACAACTGCATTTGGCGGCTTTGACTCAGGTTAAGGAGGGCGCTGATTCATCGCCTTTGGAACGTGCTCTCGCTCAATTATTAAATCAAATACTAAAGGTAAGGCTAACAAATTCTTTAATTTTCGCTTTCTCATTCCTCTTCTTCAAATCAATTTAAAAAATGTTAGATTAGGCCTATAAACTAGAATTTGTTGAAATTTTTCAACTCTTATTCTATTTTGTGTTTATTTAACGTTATTTTACGAAGCTCAACTGATGGATGTATGTTAAATCAATGAAAGAATAAGTATAAAAGTTGTACAAAAGCCAAGTGTTACATACTCTGCGTACTATACTTAGGTTTTTTTTACGAGGTATTCATACCTTACAAATTTTTACGTAATAGCAAACCTGAGTAGTATTTTTTTTAGGTTAGAGAAGAAAAAATCTGTTAATCTCTACAGTAAAAATTTTTATCTTCTCTAACCTTTTATTCTTTCATTCTGTTATATTTACATAATACTGCTTATAGCATATTATGAAGAAAAGGATGAGCTATTAATATAGAATTAATCAATTCTTAAATTAAGTTCTGTCCACAAGTCTTTCCTCCGTATTGAATATAAACAAGTACTATTGTAATGTATATAAATATCCCGAAATATAATAAAAAAAGAACATCCTATTTCTCTTAGTTCTTATCCAACCTGTCTTACACATTTAGAATGTCCTTTAGAAAATAATTAATATACGAAAGGCAACCGAATGCTTGACTTTCATCTTGAATCTCAAATTTCGTAAAGTTCTTGTCTGTGAAACGTGAAAGTCTACATTAAAAGACATTGTATTATATAGTAGGTATTCAAAAGACGTTTTTTTCTCCTTCTATATTTTCATATATAGATAGTAAAAAGTCTATTTCCTACTTATCTGAAAATAGTATCACGTATTACGCGGAAGTATATCTTATCAATCAATCTAAATGTAATCTGAAAAGATGAGTGGTATAAACTTTAACTTTATATCATTTTTATATGTTTTGGCCATCTCTCTTGCCTCTATTCCTTTCAGCACTAGAAAGAAAAAAAAAACTCTTTAATGGAATAACCATTATCTACTAAATTTAAAAATGATTATAAATACGCTATTTGGTAATACAAAACTATTATCATTTTAACCTCTCTTTTATCCTCTTCATTCCTATTTCCCACTTCTACACCTACTATCCTTCAATCTCAAAGTTTCTACTTCATCAATTAATCAATATTTGCGTAGATATGTAAAAATTATTATGCAGACTATATAATTTGAAATTTCTATTGGATCGATTTCTTATAATAAATATTATATAGAAGGATTTTCCTTTGATAGAATACCGAATATACTAGATAGTGATATTCATAGATGTAGTACATATATATTATATATGTAGGATATGTATACTGTTAATCCATTTTCCATTTAAAATTTAGCTATTATTGCCGTGTTTTCTCTCATTTATTATCGTCAATAGAACTTTTACTCTTTCTCTCTCTCTCTCTCTCTCTCTCGTTCTCTCTTTTTCATATCAGGTTTTCTCTATCTCATCACCCTTCACCTCATACGCTATTTATCCATTCATTGCTTGTGATAAATTCACGAATTTAATGAGCCATTAATCCTTTTTTCATATCATTAGCGAAATTTCTTATAATCTTATTGAGATTTTCTAATTTTTTGAAACTTGACTCAATAAATATACCTCAGGGATGAGAGAAGATAAGTGGAATTTATGCTTAATTACGTCCAAGAGCTTATCACCAAGAGATCAAAACTGAAAATATATTCGTATTAACTCGGTAAAATGAGTTTTCATTTCATAATTTTAAAATATCGAGTAACAAAGAAGGAAATACACTTATATTATGAAAAAGACAGACGTGTATATTGAGAAGCAAGCAAGCAAGGTAAAGAAACTCTGCGAAAGAGAATAAGTGAAAGCAGTGAGTGAGTGAGCGAGTGAGTGACTGAGTGAGCGAGAGAGAGAGGGCAAGAGAGACAAGAGAGGGAAAAGGGAAAAAACCTCGGTTAAGATCGATGAATGCTCATTGTCAACAATATAGAGCGCTTAATATTCCTTTTTCAGAAAGAGAATGCTCGCTAATATCTTTAAATACAGTTTTGTATTATGAACCAGTTTCAGGAAATAATTGAGAAAGATTTATAAATCCAAGGCTTCCTTTAAATGCACTCTTCTATTATCAATGCACAGTATATAGATTTAATATAAAATGTAAAACCTTCATAACACAAGTAGTAAAATGTATGATTTATAGTGAAGTTTCTTAAATAATTAGTTATGAGAATTCTATATTTAATGGTAAAGTAAGAGAATATTTATGTAATTTGGAGTGACTTAAGAGATGTTTATCTGTCACTCCACAGCAGTATGTTAATGGTTTATGTCCAGAAATTTCTTTCCATCTAATCTACTTGATATGTTTATATCTAAAAATATATAAGTATATATGCCTATATATAGATAAAGAGACATTTATATTGTTAAATAATTAAATGAAATACCGTAATAACATATATGTATGATAAGCAATAAAAAGAATGCATATTATAGCAAAACAAACAATAAAAAGACAACCAAAATACAATCCACAATAATAATAAAAACAAAATTTCAGACAGACTTATTTCTTGTTAATTATTTAGAATAAGGCTATAAGAATAGATTAAGCGTTTCTGTATCATTTTCATACTCATTCATTATTATATTTGCTCAATCTAGTTTAAGATGTTTGTATAAATTTCTAGCATTTGTTATAGTAAATACTATATATTTCGAAATGATCCAAGTAATGACTTGGATTCCAAGAATCGGCATTTCATATATTCATTATTTATTTATTTATTTATTTATCCATCTATCTACAAGTATATCTACTTATCTATTCATCTATCAATCTATCTAACTGTCTATCTTTACCTATCGTCTTATTCCTCTTCGTCATCTATTATCAATCTAAGGCAAAACGACAAAATATGATTCAAGTATAAAGTATAACTATATGATCAGAAATTGTAGTAACACTAAAACAGTGTAGACTGGAGAAAAAACACTCTATCCCAACGATAAAATAATCCTAATTAGGACAATTCGGATAACGAAAGCATCCTTTATTCACCTTTCTCTCCAGCTTTTCTTTAAGCCTTAAGGGGAGGTCTCCTCTTAATAAATAATTATATTCCCTTCATCTCGTTAACGAAGTCTTTCTGTTAAATTTTCTTTTAACGAGTATTCAATCTTAAATTAATGAGAAATAAGAAAATAATAAAAAAAACCCAGATCAAACTATTCATTACAAAGCATTAAAGCCTAATATCGAAATCGTGTTGAAAAGAAACGCCAGAAATACTAAACTTTTCAATTAAATTTGCATAGATATGAATTTTTTAAACAATAATTGATTGAATGAATCAAGAAAATTAATGAAAGGAATTAAATGTTGTTGTTGTTGTTGTTGTTATTGTTTTTTGTTGCTGTTGATTTTATTTCTCATTGTATCGTTGGGTTTATCCTAGAAAATACGTTTATATTAATATATAGTAATACAGTTGATTATTTTTTTATTACTGCACTTTTATACAGTATATACAGTATATCATTATATATTAGTATGTTGTGTATTTCCTATAAAAGTAGACAAATTAAGCTTAAATAAAAAGAATATTAATAATCTAAAGAGAAGCTTTGCATTAAATTTCAAATAGAAAGCATTTTAAAGCTATAGTGAAAAAACTATACGTTATTACTTATAGAGTTGGACGTTACATGATGCTTACCGAGTTCTACACTTAGACGCCCCTTAATCGATTATTTATTTTTTGATTGATAGACTTTAGACTATCTTTTGTATAGAAAGTATATTGGATTTTAAAAGAATAGCAGAGATTGGAAATAAAAGATTGAGTAAGTTAGATAATACGAAAGAGATTAGGCAGAAGGGTGGGATAAGGAGTTTAGAAAAGGGAAAAAGCGGTACAGAATGGCATTTGGTAGAGCTTATATGAAAAAAAAAGAGAGAGAATACAATATCCAATATTATAATTGTCATTCTTTTCAGACCTGTATAGGAGAGATGCAACAGACACAAAACGGTGCGGAAAAATTAGCCATACTTCAGCAATTATCCAAGCTTTTGCGATTGGTTGTTGCCCTGCTCAAAGGTATAAAAGTGATAATAATGATTTTATAGTCTTTGTTTTCTCATAAAAAATTTCTTTCTTCTCATTTTATAGCACATCATTCCCTTCACTTCATTGCTCTTGTTATTGCCAATCGAATAATGGATAGTTGTGTCGTAGAACGCGTTTATCATCCATGGGAATTGGAAGATGAAAATTGCCAAGAAAAAAACGGACCGTTTACTAGGTCAATACCGCTTGATATGGGTGTCAGAACGCACTTGGATACTTTATTGGGTGCCAAAAGTCCCAAATCGACATTACGAAATTCATTTAGAATGTCTCTACATCAACAAGAAAGTACTCGGTCGATGAGATCGTCTGGTCTGGTTGAATCTGTCAGTAAAGAGGCTAGCGTTTCTGATACGGACGCTGGAACGGAAACGGAGAACCGAGAGCCTGAAACGACGCCCATTCACGAACTCAATTCAACCGATCCGTCTCCAGTAGTAGCCGTCCTTTCAAGCGCCATTCAACAGCACAAAAAAAATCATAACCGCCAAAAGTGTACGCCAAGCTTTCGACAGAGAGCTTGCGTTCATCATTGCATTCAAATTTTATCGGCTAGACTATTGGTATTTTTCTGTCATCAGCCCAATAGTCAGCATAGGATGGTCAACGACGAACACATCCGAGCCTTAGTCGATGCCTTAGACCCTAATCACGATCCGGTTCGTAAAACCCCTTTTAACCTTTTAGTTACATTTACTCGTAAAACAAGAAAAAGACGTCTACAATATACTACTTTAATGTATGAAAGTGACGTCGTTTGTTTGAAAATAAAAAAGCAACAAGGATTATTTATTGAGTTGTTAAATATATCTGAACTCTGTGTAAACTTCCGCCATCCGAGTGGTCTGGGCGGACGTATTAGTAATTTCATTTTTGTCTTCGCAGCATTTGCTCTGCTTGGTGCTACAAGCTTTAGCTTGCATTGCTCTCAATCCGCTCTACCATGGTGCCCTTTCCGATGCAGATATTCCAGATACGCTCATGCAGCTGCTCCTACCTTCCGACGAATGGTACTATACGAATCACAGGTTCGAAAATTATAACTTGTTACGCTCATTTATTATAATTTTAGACGCATGTTCTGTAAAGCAAATTGATTGCAAGTAGGTGATATAGGTAGATAGAATGAATAGGTAAGAGAGTATGAAATGGAGGAGGAGGCGTTATTTTGCTATTTCCTTTACTCTTTTTTTCTCTCTTATTTACTTTGTAAGCTTTAAAAAGTTCTAATTAACCCCACTTTATTTCTTTTAGAGCATCTTTTACCTCTCAACTTTTCAATTAGTAGGCGTAAAATTAATTTAATTTCAACGAATTGAAGGTTAATAATTTTAATACTCAGGATTAATCAAGCTTCTCTAAGACTTAATTCAAATAAAAATTTTCTTGATTCCTTTAATCGTTCTTTCTTTCCCTCTTCTTTTATCCTGTTTTATTTTCCATCATCTATTTTCTATTCTATCTTTTTTCTTTCAAAAATCTTAAGAAGTGAAAGGACGTAGTATAAAACATCAATTATTAGTTCTGACTAAGCGGTAAGCGGGTAGTTTACCCTAAGAGTATTAAGGAAACTAAACGCTTACAAACATTGATCGACTTTTGTGTATTTTTAAAATAAATACAACCTGCTGATAAGACCGTTTGATGGCTTCCCTTTAGCACCAAGACTGCTTTTAAAAGAATATTAAACAAGTAACAACAAATTTAACTAGTACTTTTCTCTAATAGAAATCCTAAATTATTCTTTTTTATTTAACTGAATAAAAGAATCCAAATGGATCAAAGTAATTCTTTTTAGACGCCACCTAACGGTAGACCTCAAAATGAAATATTCGTCTTTCTCTTGGGACCCTTTTAATCATACATTTTTCTTTTTTTATAACGGAAAAAGTTATCTTTTACCCATATATTTTATTACATTTAAAAGTCTTTATAGATGAGTCGTGCAATATTATGGTTGCTAATACAAAATAAGAGGAAAATCGCGTGACTAAAGTTGAAAAAGCAAGTTAAGTGTATGTTTTTCTCTCCTTACAGCACGCGCTATGCCCGCTATGTAAAATATCATGCAGCGAGAATTCTCGTTTATATGGGTTTGTTCCAACGCCTAGGCGGCAGGGTAAATCTATTTGATGCTAAAGGTAACAAACCTACAAGAAGTAATTATCGACAATTTTAAAATATTTTAGCGAATGATTATTTTCATTCTTTAGCCTTTGCTGATTTAAACGGTCCGTCGAAGAATATGCATCACCATGGCGCGGAGGATTCGTTTATTGATCAGATGGCTATGGGTAAATTGTTACTATGTGGTCATCGCCGCCAGGTGGTCGCAGGCTCTTTAGAAGGTTTGGTTGCAGAAATAATAGCAGTAAGTTATATGAACTAAATATACACCATATATACATAGATACTGTACATACTTAAAAGATAAAAGTTTGGTTGAAATACTAAGCATAGACCTTTTGCGGATGACTTTTCAAACTGTTTTCATGTATTTATAATACAGTATATAGCGTGAGTAAGATACCTTAGAAGAAGGCAATAATTACCTTTTAAGGACGCAAAGAGCAGATGCAAGAAAAGTATATAAAAATTTATTTAGCTGAATACGCTTTAAGAGATATATGCGAGAAATATACCGGAAATTACTGCTTATCGATTAAATATAATTTAATTTGAATTGTTAGCTGAACACTATTTCGCGATTGACAGGAAGCTGAAAAGGATGATGACAATCCTCATGTCTGTCAGGATTTAGCTTCTCCTCCAAGGATGCAAACAAGACATGGTTCTCTAGCTGTCGATTTCTTACCAGCTGTTCCTCAATCAAAAAGAGCTTCAGAAGAAACACTAGCCTGCTGGGATAAGTACTTGCTGTCCAAGCTATCCCTAACTTACGCCCTACTTAATGGCGCTCCATTAGTTGTTCACCCTATCATCATTCTTCGCTTGTTATGCCACAAGGTTGGTAATTTAAATGAAACATTAAACTCTAACATATATATAAATTCCTGAATTTTATTGGGGGAAACATATAAAACTATTACAATCTTTAATTAATCTCTCTCTCTCTCTCTCTCTCTCTCTCTCTCTCTTTCAGTCTCTTTTGATTTTGTCCATCTTTATCTTGCAGAAAGCTCTTTTCAATAGATCTAAACGCCGTGGAAAATTAAGTGTTGTGCGGATACAAACCAGTCTCGCGGCTAAAATAAGGGGCTTACGTCTATTTATTAGGACTTTGCCAAAGTTATTGCACATTAAAAAAAACACTACGAACACTATATTGGCTTTTAGCACAACGAATCCACAAACATTTGCTATTTTAGCTTTTAAATGAATTTGCATATACACAAAATACCTTACATAAATTAATATATTAGAATACGGACAGTATGGAGTATATACAGTATATGTATATATGTTTGTACGTAAGAGTGTACGTGTGTATGTGTGTGTGTGTGTGTGTGTCAGATTTATAAATACATACAGATAAGCAAATAATGTTAATACAAAGCTATAAAAAGAATTCATCAATACACATGTCTAATACTTTCATTTATTTATAAAAAACGACTCAAGCTAGTACGTCACTTTAACAAACAAAAAAGGCATTAGTATTTACTACAATGCTGTTATTCCTTTCCTGTTTTAATACTTTTATCGATCGTCCAGTCAAAAGAAATAAAACTTTTTTACTCAATAAACATTTTAAAGAATATAGTACTTTTTTATTATTATTATCTATTCTCATTCTTTTCACATCGTCTTTTACTTCCGTCTAGTCTCCTTTCTATTTTCTATTTTCTCTCTCTTTTTTTTTATGTAGACTATTACTTTATTTGATATTTTATATCAATTTATTTTTCTTTAAATGATAATAAGTTTTCTTTCCCTTATTTAGTTAATTTCATTTTGTGAATCTGATTATTTCTTGTATTAAGTGACTTAGAACTTAAGGTTTCGCCTGCATTTACCAAACACACAGTGTATTGCATATTTACTGTAGTAAACTGTATTTATATTTTATTAATGACCTTTTTCTTTTCTATTAATTTTCCTGGAAAAATATAGATTTATAATATTTCTATCAAATTCCCCTAAAGGAGAAAGGGAGGGGAGAGTGAGAGATTGGTAGGCGGGGTCGTAGAAGGGGACAAGGAGAAAGAATTATGTAGAGAGATTGAAAAAAAACACGAGAGGGACAGACAAGAGAAGGGAACTGTGCAAATAGAAAGATAATGGAAAATAGTTATCATCTCCCTATTAAATTAGTTGATAAAAAATTCATTTTTATTTTGTAATAATGGAGTTTTCCTTCAGGTATTTGGTCCAATGCTTCGACGCAAAACGAATTATTCGGACAAGAACCTTTCACCTCCAGCTGTTTCTGAAAGTGATAGTTGTCCGCCTCAATTCCGTTCTCACAGCATAGCCGTTACAGATTCGAAAAAATTGCATAAAATCCAAAAGAATCGGTCCGGTAGTGTTGATAAACAGCTCTCCTACCGGAACCGGAAGAAACGCCACGGTCGGAATATGTCACTAGCCCTACGCGATATTGGTGAAGGATTAATGACGCCCCTAGATATTCTAAACACATCGCCGTCGGATTCTTTTTTGCACCTCGACTCTCTTGACGATGACGGTAGCCAACGTCGACGCTTCCGGTTTCCAAGTTTGAAGACTCATTCAAAGAGTCAAGGTCATTTGGCGGGTGTTGGTCGTAGTGATAGCGAAGACCGCCAGTATGAGGATAAAGATATTAAGCTAATGCAAAAGGAATTGATTAATTTACCTACATTCGTAGTAGACGCTTCCAAACATACATCTACTCTTCTTGTATCAAGATCAAGTAGTGTTCCAGAATTGCTAAGTTCCTCCAATAGTGTTCCGATATGTGAAATAGCAGTACACGAGACCAGTGATGCTGAAAGCGTTGATAGACAAGCCTACAATTCTGCTGATCAGGCTATAGTAGTCCACTTTGCCGCTGCTTCACCCATCGATAGTCCAGCCTCCAATCGATCGTCTTTCGACGAAACAAGCAAGCTAGGTGATTCCTTAAACCCACATCACCATGTAGTCATACAACCTTTACCGAAAAATGAAAAGAGTCCATTGACCCTAACATTCAGCAATCCTTCCAACTATTCCTTCGAAGTATTATCGTACCACAAGGGCGTTATGAAAGTAATCGATACGTGGTTAAACATTTGCCCTTTAGACTTGGAATGTTCGGCGGCGATGAGACGGGAAACTAGGGAATTTTTACATAAATTTAGTTTATTAGGACCAGAATATAAAATGTGGACTAAGAAACAGTTGGAACGTTTGAACTTGGACGAATTCGACATAAGGCGAGCATCTACGACAGCCGTACCGGATGTAGATAACGTTAATTCCGAATATAAGAGGGTAAGTTAGTAACAGGTGGTTGACAGATTTCACACCAGATAGCGCACTTTTTTTCATTTTATGAAAATATAATCTAACCCATTTCCATATTTTATTCATTCCTTTCCTATTTTCTCTAATTTCGATTGCTCTCCATTGAAAGAGAAAGTTAGTTATTCATATTTATGCGATATAAAATTGCTATATATTTAAGCAGGAGAGAGCAAATCTACCTATAAAAAAAAGAGTCAGGTCGAAAAGGAAAAAGGGTTAAAAAGAATCAGAGGTAACGATAGGACGTAGGAGAAAAGGGGTTAGCTTGTTTATTAGCTTGATCTTATAAGTACTTATGAGAACATTTTCTAAGACTTCAGTTTTCTATCTCAGCACTATTTATAAGCGCTTATAAATCCCTATACAAATGTGCGATTAAGCTTCTACTATTTGTATAAGAACTAGTGGAAGTTATAGATAAACAGCTATTCTAATTCATCACAAGCTATTAAACTGTATGATTGACGATTATAAGAAAAATTAGGAGGAGTTAAATAAACTAGACCCTTCTTAAAAGTAATCCTAAGGTAAAGTAAAAAACATTTAGAAGGAGAGGCGGGAGAGACAGACAGAGAGAGAGAGAGAGAGAAAAAAAAAAAGAAATGAATGAGAGAAACCACCATCAAGAAGTCCAGTGTTTAAGGTTACTATATATACCCGTAATTTGTGAGAGAGAAAATGTTATTTAATCCAATCTTTCTAGAGATGAGCTTCGGTTAGATACGGTTATAAAAGAAAATGATCTTCTCTTAGGTACTTAAAAGATCTTTTAGATAAACACTGAAAAAATTGTTTTTTCATTGGATTCCATTCTGTAAATAAGCATGCAATATACGATAAAAATAAACATCATTAAAGAAACTACTTATAATATCAAACCGATGATAAAAAATAAATATACTATAAGCCTTTAGGCCCCTATTTCTTTGATTATTTTGAAAAAAAGGAAGTGTTTTTTCACAATCTTCCTATCGCCCACCCTCCTACCCCCGTAAGTAACTCAATATTTCATTAGCTTTCTCTTTACTATTTCAACTACCCTTTTCACCTTATATTTCCTTTCCTCTCTTCACCCACTTTTTATCTTTTTTTGCTCCATTTCTCCTCTCTAGATATTAAATATATGTATTTATGTAAATTATTTATTGTTTTGTACCCATTTCATCATTTCAATACTAGCGCCATCTATACTTGCTTCCTTGCACTCTTTTTAAATAGGGGTCGATTAATATTGAAAATTTGCATATTTTTGTAAGAAAAAAAGAGTCGTTCACTAAAAAGACCGACACTGTTCGAAAACGTTCATTATTTGGAAAAATCGAATAGAGTATTCTTAGCTTTTTCTTCCCTTTTTTATTTTTCCCATTTAAAACATGAAATAGGCCTACTCAATTAGCAGGTATATACAAAATATTTAGTAATAGGTAAAAGCTTAGAATACAATAGTTTTTTATCGATATTAACGATAGTTTAAGGAATTTCTTATAGATTAGCTGATGTCTTTGGAAATTAGACGTTAAATCATTAGAATTTAATAAAAGGTTTCGTTGGATTAGAAAAAAACTAGTGCTGAGAGTTAATGTTACTGTTTATTACAAAGAGGTAATAAAGTGCGTGTAAACACTCATCCTAATCAGATATTATCTGTTAAATAAGTGTTTGTCGTCGTTGAACGCCACCTGTTGAAGAGTTAGATAAGACTCGGAGGCGTTTGGCAAACACATGTAGAATATATCGAAAATAGTTTTTTTTTTAATACTAAGAAGAAAATATGTCTGAATTTCAGTTGCAACATTTAGTCGTCGAAGGAGAGCTACCTTGCGAAAAGGAAGACGCAGCTATGTTAGCTGGAATTCAACAGCACCTTGAAGAAGCTTGGCCGGAAGAAGATGATAACGACGATCAAGAACAAGTAGAACAAGAATTATTAGATTGTGATTATCAAAAGAAGGAAAGAAAAGACTATCTATTAAAACACAGGTAAGAGGGGAATTTTTCTATTTTGCTAACACTTTTTTTTGTTGCTATTATGCAAGAAAATTTGCATTTATTACGTTTTATTCCGACTTTTTATGACTATTATTCGCTTTTTTTTCAACTCTTTTTAATTACCCATAGGCCTAAAAAATTGACAAGTACAAGGAGAAAAGGAAAGTTAACTAAATCGTTGTTATGCCTTCACGAAGACGGCTTAGGTATGCCTTGCATGCAGAATGAAGAAAGTCAGGCGTTGGCAAAGTGCCTACCTCCAGAATATAGGCACGTTAAAGTAGTAGAAAAATTAGTTGAGGTAAGAAGATGATATTTAGCTTAATGACAATAGTAATAAAAGTACCTTCATTAATCATTTTCTTATAGGACAAGATGCATCGACTCTTTCATACTCCTTATTACGATAACGAACTGAAATTGAAGCAACTGTATGTTAAAATCTGCAAAAATCTTGCTGCATATGATTGTAAGCTGTATCCAGTAAAAGAAGTAGAAACGGCTCGCGGTTCTATTAAGAAGCGTACGAATCGTCTATTAGGAATAAATCCTGAAAAGTTAGTTCTATTGGATAGAAAAACAAAAAAGAACATTCAAGTTCATCGAATGAACGAAATTACTTCATTAGAAGAACACAAATCAAGTGATATTATTACTTTAGAATTCCGTGGGTCTGCTCCATGGCGTTTAACGTCTTCCTCTATTAGTAATTTAAAGTCAGCGCTACAGGATGTTATGGATCCAAGCGTTACCAATGCTAATATATTCCATCATAATATGCTAGAATTTTCATCAACAAATCAAGAACAAGAAATAACTTCCGATTATGCGGACGAACTGAAGCAAATGACCGATCTTTTACACTTTCCAGAGGAGGTAGCTGCTTTAATGACCAGAAAAGAATACGAACAATTTAACAATGTTAAGCCTATATACTATATTAGGCAAGTAACTGTTGAACTAAACAAGATAATGAGAGATAGCTCAGAGCCAACAGTTCAAAATTTGGTTAATAGGTTCAACGAAGTTAGCGCATGGATAACTCAAATTATAATAGATCAACAAAGCTATGAAGATAGGAAAGCCGTTTTAACTTGTATAATACGCTTGGCCGTTACTTGTTTTACTTTAGGAAATTTTAATACCACTGTCGAAATATTAGCTGGTTTAAAATCGCATAAGTTAAAACCGTTTTGGTTATGCATTCAAGACGAAGACTTAAGTTCCCTAACTACTTTGGAAAGTGTATTGTTGACTTGTAGAGAATGTACGGACGAATATAGGCAAGCTATCTACAGAGCTTTAGATATGCCTGGTTGTCGAGTAATACCTTTCTTCGGAAGTTTTTTAAGGGATATAAGATCAATACTTTATGGTATTCCAAGTATAGTAGTTCTACCAACAGAAGGATGTCAACATTTGGAGGTGAGAATACGCTAATTTGATTTATCGTTGATTTCGTAGTTGTTTTTACTCAAATTCCATTTCATATAAAAACGTATAAGGTTTCTTAAGGAAAAGTAATTGTGTCTTAAGGGGAGTTTAGTTATTGGATCTCCAATTTTTCCTAGATTAAATTTACCTGTTTATACATGTTTTGTTTATCTGATTGTAAATAATAATAAATTATCTGTATAGACTATTTAATATTAATTAGCGAATAAGAACAGGGGCGAGTTTCTCTCTTCCCTTATTATAACCAACTACTGTATATATATTAGCTTGAATGATGACTTTTATATTAAACATTATCCATTATCGTCTCTTTTCTCTTTTCAGCATATTTCTGATTTCGCCGGTGAAGATAGATTTATGACACGTATTGGAGTTGGTGGACTAATCAATATGGAAAAAATTCAACAAAGTCATGTGATCCTTAATGATATACATCTCTTCCAGGAGCATGCAAGGATACAGGAAACTCAAAGAATTACAGAGGATAACGATGATGAAAAAGAGGAAAAGAATATTTACGAAGATGATAGTGATTATGATCTTAATACATCATATCATTCTTTCGCTAAGTCTACCACTAGCAATCATGGAGTTATGATGATATCTCCAAAGTCATCCAAAATAAGATTACACGATCTACAAACTCTCTATCATGGAACAACTGTCGTTAGATGGGATTCGTCCAGTGGACAGAGTTCTATTTGCTTTCTAAAATTGGAAAATGATACAGGAACATTGGCCTGGAGAAGGCCACCGTGGAGTGGTTTAAAAGGCGCCACACCAACTCCTCCAGGGCATCCCCAGTATATCCTAAATAGGGATATTGATTGTCCTCAAACGTGCGCATTATATGCAAGGTATAATGCTGGAATCAATGTTATAGAAGATATGGAAGAAGGTCATGTAGATTTGGCTGCAGTAAAGTCTATTACTTTAGGTAGCACAAGTGCAGATCTAAATTCTATTGCTAGGAAGCACAATATGCTATCTTTAACATCTAATAACTGCTTAACAATTATTCATGGAGCAAATTTACCGGAAAATAGGCCTATCGAATTTATTTTTCCATCGTTAACAGCTCGAATTTGGCACAGAGCACTTAAAAGGTTAGTGCATGGTATGCAAATTCTACGAGGCAGAAATACAGATTTACGACTTCATTGGCTTAAGGAACAATATTTGCAATTATATTACGAAACGGATACACCCCGTAGGCCTATTGCTGCCGATGCCATTAAGTTATTCGGGGGTAGGAAATGGCCAAATGAAAATACAAGATCAACATCTCAGGAGAAGGCAACACAACCGTTAGGTTTACATAGGACTAATTCCGTATTACCAGGTCATACAAAGGCTAATAAGAAGAAGAGTGCAACGGGTGTTCTCCCAAACAGAGACACACCCAAAAAGGCAACCTTTACAACAGATTTTTCTCAAAGAAAACAAGTTGATGATAGCAAATTTAAAAAGAATTCAACAACAAAGAAATTTAATCCATCTTCGTTATTTAGGCCTAGAAATATAACGTTTAATTTTGTGTCTTTGGGTTTCAAGCCTAACGATCCAAAAAGGTTATCATTTCGTCATAAGGTTAATGAAAGAAGGCATGATAATATTACTAGAACGATGGTCTTGGATTTTTTGGACTTTGTCGAACTATTTAAAGCTTTCAGCTTAAGGTGTAGAAAGGATTTATTTCAAGAATTCGCAAGGTAATTAGTAACTAAATTAAAAATGGTATAATGATGTTGTGTTTTTTTTCCTTTTCCTCCTTCTCACCTTTCTCTTCTTTCCGTTTCTGACTCTCGTTTCTCTTGATCAGATATGCTACTACAACTCCAATAGAATGGAAGATGCCCAAGGAACTATTGGAATGGAAATGTGATAAGCACGAATTAGGTATCATAACACGCAATTCGATCCTAGACGAACGCCTGGAATCCCAATCAAAAGTTCAAATTGATATCATGGCTTTATCGAGTGTTATTCATAACTCAGCAACATGCAGTGTATCAACATTTAATGCTGCTCAGAAAGGGCGACAGAATGAAGGACGGTTAAGTGATTCATCAACTAATATTGCTTCGGATAAAAGTTGTATGGGAATAGCCGAGTTAAAACAATTTTTAATTAAAGAGCAGGAAGAAACAAACGTTTCAGATGAAAGATGCATGCAAATCATAGCCGTAAGTTTTATCTTTATTATAAAAATCAATAGTTTATTAAATCGATACTTATTTTTTTTAATCTATTAGAGACACGAACGAGATCCGGAATTTAGAAAGTTGTGCAAGTTAAGCGCCGAAGGTTTTGCTAGATATCTAATGGACAAAGAGAACTATGCATTTGTATCAGAACATGCAAAGCAGTCAGACGAGGTTTTTATCTTTATCCCTTACATTCGCCATTTTAACCTTTTTTTAAATATCGCTCGCTTCAATTTACCATTATCTATTAGTATAGTTGTACTTTGCAAATTGAAGAATTTATAAATAATAATATAAACGGTAGAGACATCTAGAATGGTTTCTTTATAAGATCCATTTTTTTCTCCATCAATCCTACGCGTTTCTTTTTCGTTGTGTTAAGTAATTAACGTTGACAGAAAAAATTACTTTTTTTATGATGACTAATTTTTCCATCAGCATAATGCAAAGACATTGACTTGCTAAAACGTAATCATTGCATTCGTAGCTCATTAGACAAGTCTTTTAGCTGTTTTAGGAGAAAATAGGAGAAAAAAGAGATAGTAAGCGGGTAGATGGGATTGATATGGTAAGAGGGAAACGACGTAGAATTAATATTAAAAAAGGCTCAAATACTTTGTCAGTGTAATAGGTTAAAGGAGTAACGGGATTTTTTCTCTACCATTCTCTATTCGCCATCTCAGTAAATTGGGGGAAGATGGTTAAGAACATAAACAAATTCAGCCTTTTCATTTTTTTTCTTATCTTCTCATTCAGTCTTAATCTTCCTTTATATTTTCCTTTTCTTTTTTAATTCTTTAGGACATGGATCATCCATTATCCCATTACTATATTGAATCTTCTCACAATACTTACTTAACTGGCCATCAGTTACGTGGTGAAAGTTCAGTGGATATTTACAGTCAGGTTCTATTGTCCGGATGCAGATGTGTTGAATTGGATTGCTGGGATGGAGATGACGGATACCCAATTATTTATCATGGACATACTCTCACCTCTAAAATATCTTTTAGGGTATGTTGGTGTTTACAAACAAATAGGCAAAAAGAGAAAATTTTGGATATAGGTGGCAGCAATAGCTGATAGGAAAGAAAATAATTAACGGCTTTAGTAAGGCCACATGTAAACGTAATAGAAGGTAATCAATATTTAGACGTAAAGGCAGAAAGAGGAGAGGTAAAAAAACAAATCCAAAAAGCTGGTAGGAAGGGTTCGTAATCGTATTATATTAATAGGTTTACAAAGACGAAAGGATTCCTCGACTATTTGTAATAAGACAGACAAATAGAGAGAGAGAGAGAGAAAATAACACAGAGAGTGAGGCAGAGAAGGATGGAGAGAGGGTCAACGAAGGAAAAAGTTAGCAAAACAAAAAATTTTAGTAGATATAGAGAGATAGACAGCTATACAGCAATAAAGTAAACTGTAATTTTCTGAAACAAGACAATTAACCAAAGTTTCTCTTTATAATCAACAAATTATTTGCAATAATGTATAGTAAAAAATTTTATTGTCTCTTTTAGAGTGCTGTTGAGGCAATCAGTAAGAGTGCTTTCATAACTTCTCCTTATCCAGTTATTCTTTCTATTGAAAATCATTGTTCACTGGCTCAACAACAGAAAATGGCAAAGATATTCATTGTAAACTATTCATTTTTTACTTTTAATACTTTTGGAAAAAAGTATTTTTATACTACTTAAAATATTACAGGATGTCATCGGTGATCATCTTTTGAAAGACTTCCTTAGCGATTCACATTTACTGGAAGATGCTAATTTACCATCTCCTAATCAGTTGAAATATAAAATCCTTATTAAGAATAAGAAATTACGAATGTCGGAGAACCATAATGCAAGATATAGAGCTTCTGATAGTGGGCGACCCAGTCTGCCAGCACCATATGATGACGACGATGATGAAGAGTATGACGATGAGGATGATACTATGTGTAAGTACTAAATATTCCTGGAATTATAGAAATTGGCTTATGAACGCTTAATTTTATTCTGATAGCGAGAGACATACGTCAGTCATCGGCAGCTACACCGGAAGTGTGCGTGGAAAAATGTTCCGAGCCCAAATCCTCTCCACTCTTTAATACATTAAAGATAATGGAAGGAGAAATAGATAGGCCACGCTCCAGTTCATTTGGTTCGCAAAAGGCCTTATCCCCTAATGGTAGACAGTCCCGTCCTAGATCTGGTTCACTTGGTAACGTCTCAGTGGGTCAAGAGAAAAAATTGGCTATAGCGACTCTGTCTCAATCGCCAAGTGATACAAATTTATATATTGACTCAGAAAAGATGATAAGCCCAGATACGCCAAGCAGTGCTAGTCGCTCTTGGTCGAGAAAAAATACGTTTAAGAAACCAAAAAGTAGTAATGAGAGTTACGATGCAAAGATTAGTAGTACTTCATCTCATTCCGCGTGTAGGGTAAGGTCTAGAGAAAGTGAAAGTGAAGCAACCTACCCCTCTAGGCGAACTTCTTACGAAGAGACCAAATTACACTCAGTTAATAGACCTAAAAGTTCGATGGATGCTTTTGATTGGCAATTCGATCCTTCCGGTCAAAGCGTTGCATCTGATCACGATTCTCCACCAAAGAATAAAAGGAAAAAAGCAGCTATTGCCCAAGAATTATCTGATTTAGTTATATATACACAAGCTGTAAAGTTTCGAGGCGTTAGTTCGATGACAAGTAGTATTCAGAGTAAATTAAAGAAAAGTACCGGTAGGAGAAGCGGAAGTCAAATTACTCTCGAAAGTGAGAGAAGTGAATTAAGTGTTCCAACTTTTGGCAACTCGAAATTGTCCCGGATAGTGAGAAATGGACCTAATTGCTTTCAATTACCATCATTAAACGAAGGCAAAGCCAAGCAGGTGTGCAGAAGACAACCAACATTAGTAGTTACTCACACGGAAAGGAATTTAATGCGAACTTATCCCGCCCCTACAAGGATTGATAGTAGTAACTTTAATCCTGTAATATTCTGGGCTTTTGGTATACAAATGGTAGCTTTGAACTATCAAACGGAAGACACACCCATGCAGGTTCAAACGGCGATGTTCGAGCAAAACTGTCGTTCTGGATACGTTTTAAAACCAAGGATGATGTGGGATAAGACACATCCGTTGTTCGGTAGATTCAATCCCTGGGATAAAGAGTTAGATGCCGTAAATGCTTGCAAATTGGAAATAACAGTTATTTCTGGCCAATATGCCTGTCCTAATAACTTTAACGGTCATCCAATGGTCGAAGTTGAAATATTTGGAATCCCTTGCGATTGTACAAAATATAAATGCAAAACAATTAAGGAGAATGCTGTAAATCCTATTTGGAATGAGAGTTGCTCTTTTCCATTGATGATGCCTGATCTCTGCTTCGTCCGATTTACTGTCATAGATACAAACGCCGGGCAAACTGTTGCCGCCCAACGAGTCATACCTGTAAAGAGGCTTAGATCTGGCTATAGACACCTAAGATTAAGAACACCTGGAAATCAGAAACTAGAACTTTCTTCACTATTCATAAAAACCCATCAGAGAGAGTTGGATAATTTAAGCGAATGTGGAAATTTATCATTAGATAGTTACAAAACGGATAAATCTGAATCAATCAATATACCTTTCTTCCCCTTCGTAAAACAGGTAAGAGTTTTTTCAATAGCCCATCTATCTAAAGATTTCGTCTTTTTTAAGTTTTAAATTTGGTGTTGTTTCGCATGATTTTTGTTGTACCCAAATATTGTAAAATAATACAGCAAAAGAAGTTGAATCGCTTCATTAAGTACCTATCAAGTCTACCTTCGCTCAAGAAGCAATTCGTTAGTAATTCAATGGAAAATTTGGCTAATTTTCAAAGTAGAAGATGTAGCGAACCAGTATTGCTAACGAAAAAGAAAGCTGAAACTTTTCCAAAAAGTCCTTTATCTACGTACAAACATACGAGAAGTGCTTCTGATACAGTTCTTAAGCACTACGACGATTTGACAACAGTTAAGAGCAAATTAGATGTTCATGATGAAGGAAGTGGAGAAGAAGCTTCTAAGCCTGTAAAAAGAGCTTTAAAACAAACTTTTAGCTGCATATTACCGAAAGTAGAACGTTCAACTCGCTATACAAGATTTGCAACGTCCGAAAAATCTATATTAAAATCATCAAATCTGGCTAAATTAAAGGAAAAACAAACTAAAGAAAAACTTAATGAAAAACCTGTAAAAACAAAAAACAATTAAAAATATAAAACGATAATCAAAGTTGAACTTTTCAAGAAAAAAAAAACGTTAAAAAAATATAAAAACAAGAACTATTTTGGTGCTATTCTATAATTAGAGATGGCGAATTAAGGCTTATTTACGTAGATGTTGTCAACAATCCATATAAAATACACAAGGTTGTGGGAATGTTTATGTCGTTTTCGCTTATAAATTATACCCGCTTTTACCCATAAAAGGTTCGTTTTTTTTTCTCTCTATCTCTCTTTATTTATCTCAGCAAAATATTATTATTGTAAATCAAATTCGTGTATATACTTCTTCTTATTATTATTTAGTTTAAATATTGTAAAGCACTGTTTATATATAATAAATATATAAGGGAAAAGTTCTATTATTAACAGATGACCTTATAGAGAATTACTATCTTTTCAGAATATACCAAACCATAAAAGAAGAGGATTTCAAATCAATATCTACGGTGTAACGACTTTCGAGGAGTATACATCAATCAAGGTTACCCAAGAGGCGACTGTTTATGAAGCTATTCAAATGGTAAATAACGCAAATAGGCTTAAAAATGAATTAAAAAGGCTTCTTATTTATTTTTTGCCCGTTATAATTTATTCTATATTTCCTCTATGAAGGTTTTACAAAAGGCAAATAAAGTTGAAGATTCTGCCGATGATTACGCTCTAATTGAGCATGTTTATCGAAACTGGCACCGGAACGAAGCAGATCGGGGCACACAACGACTTTTAGACCCAAAGGAAAAGATAATGCTTGCCCAGAGTAAATGGAAAGGCCAAGGACGCTTTGTTTTAATAAAGAAGAATAACGATCCAAGCACTAGAGCTTGGATAAGTACTTTTTATAAAGACCAAAAGAGACGACAAGAATCGCAAGATGGAGTTGGTCAAGATAGTGAATGGGTTGAGCAAACTAGTAATCAAATATTTATAGTGTGCATTCATAACGTTTCTGATGAACAAAAGTATACGATACTACAAGCTCCGATTACAAGTACATCTCAGGATGTTATATCACAGGTTGAATAGTAGAATAATTCACCGAGTATAAGTTTAAGTAACTTTTCTCTTTTATTCCTCTTTCGATAGGCTATTATCAAGGGACGTCGAAAAGAGCGACCGAGTCAGTTTGTCCTTGTTGAAGAGACATCTACAAATATTTCAGGGAGATCTACTCCTGCGTACCGAATTTTGGCTGATGATGAAAATGTTTATGCAGCTCAGCAGGCCTGGAGAGCCAGTAGCGCTAATTTTGTTCTAATGGATAGAACTAAAGCATTCGAGCTGTTGGAAAAAACTCAAAAATCATCGAAATCTGGAGCGTTACAAAAATTACATATGATGAAGTTACCGTCAGCGTTCACAAAAAAGAAAAGTAGCAAGGAGAGTGATGGTAAGTTTGATTCTGTTAAGAGCAATTTGACGTCATGAGAATATCAAAATAACGTATTAACTAATATCTTTAATAGAAAATGATGCAAGTAATAGAAGAACCAGAAGTTTGCCCGAAACGGCTAATTTACAAGTTCGAATTACTAGAACAAGCGATTCCGGTTTACTAACTTCCGGAAGAAAGTCGCGTTCCCCATCTCCAAGCCTTCGATCAATGGATCGAGCACCATAGAAACAAAATATATCACAAAATAAACAAACAAAAACAACAACTACTAATATAATCTACAGAAGAATATTTTTAGGCCTAAAACTTTGATCTTTTAATTATCAAAAACACTTTTTCTATATTTTCTACACCGAGCTTTCATTAAATAATGCAGAAATTGTTATACGAAAAAAAGACTAGAAGGAGAAGACGAAATAGAAGAGATAGAGGAGGAGAAAGAAAAAAACACAAAGAAGCAGAAGAAGCAAAGAGAAAGGAGAAGATGATGATGTTGAAGAAGATACAGATGAGAATGACAATAATACGATAATGAGAATACGGAAAATATAACTTTCAATTAAAAGCAGAAAAAGAAAATATTTGATTTTTTTTTTGTATATTACTATGAAACTTTGAGCAAAGAAAAATGCCTCTCTTTATACATAATTATAGGGGATTTTCTTTTGTTACCATCTCTTTTTGATAATGATAAAGCAGACGATAATTATTATAATGACGACTGTGGATAAACTTCCTATTTTGTTTAATTCTTTTCTCTTATTTTTTATTGACGTTTACATATATATACAGTATATATAAATTTATATATATATATAAGTAAGCATTTATTTATGGACTTTAAATGGGGTGTTTAAGCTGCAGAATGTATTAAAATTAAGTATACGTATATTCTATATTGTATACAATATGTAAAATTGCATATTTTTGTGCATACATCTGCAATTTTATGCTCAAACACTTGTAATAAAATACTTTTAGTTGTATAACGAAATATTTTGTATACTGCAAAAAAAAAAAGAACACAGTTTTCTATGTTGTCTCCAAAAAATACAGTTTTATTACAATGATTTTAACAAATCGAGAATAAAGATATACTGCATAGGTAATATATGGAGCATATGCACCACCACAAATTCTTGTTTCCAGATAAAGATAGAAAATAATTGTGTCCTTGGCTGCATTCAATTATATAGTATTAGTTAAGAAGATCGCTAAATATCTCGTAAGAGTAGCAGGATTTACCAGTAAAGAGATGGAAAGGATAATGACAAAACTTTACCCCATAAACTCCTTTTCAAAATGAAAAGTTAAGCTAAAAATTAGTTTCATTACTATTTTTCTTATATAAAATAAAGCAAAATTATTAATTTTTTTGATATTAATAATTCATTTATTAAAGAAAGCTTTTGCAAATTTTTTATGTATTTTAGTAAATTGTTTTATGTAAGAAAGAAATTATAATTCAAGCATTTATAATTTAAATAATGCAAAATTATGAAATTGCTAACCTATTAGCAGTTTTTTCTCACTTATAGATGTAATCATACAAAAGAGAACATGTTTTCAGCATACTGTCTTTATATTTATCTCTTGCTATTAATTTGCGTTTGCAATATTTTCAATTATATTACCACTGATGAATGTCAAGTGAGCAAGAAAATTATCTATTCTAAACCTTCAATTTCGAAGAAAATTTGTCATGAACAGTATAAATGTTGGGATCCACAAATAGGATGCTATTACAATAAAAATCCCACTCCTGGCTTTAGAGCTGAAGTTGGCGTTTGTCTTCATAATGTTGAAATAATTAATGTTAAAAATGACACTACGTTGTCAGATTGTAGCAGAGAATGCTTGAAATATAATAATTGTGTTTCTGTTTCATATTCTATAAAAATGAAGAAATGTAGTTTGCAAATGGGTGTGTGCAAAGATCTAAATCTTTTAATCACAGATAATATTGAACTTATTAAGATGGCATCAAGACAAACCACATGTTTTGATCGCGATTGCCCTGAAAATGACATAACTCAAAATAAAAACAATTTCTCTCAATGTATTTCAGATTGTATGAAAACTGAAGAATGTATTGGTCTGTCATTTTTATGGTTCAATCAGGAGATTAGTTGTTTCGAAAAACGTGAAATATGTAATGTGTTTGATAAAATTGCACTAGGTTCACCTGGAGTTCATTTCTGTATCGCTTCACCACTTACTCCGGATTTGAACGATATAAGGCAAGGTTTATTAAAAAATATTACTGATAAAAGTTCCAAGACATGTATAAAAGTTACTATAAATAAGATATTCAATTTGAGAATTTCTTGGCCTTCTATAGGAAATCACAGTATGGATTTTAAATTAATCATTGAAGGTAATAACTTAAAGAAATGCCTACAGTCTCAATTGGGTTTAGAGCATTTCGGAGTTATAGTTTACGTTCGTGAAGAGTTTGTTGGTGAACCTTCCTTTAAAGGTTATTTTAAAAGTTGCGACCTAATCAAAGGGAATCATGATACTCTTTGCGAATATTTTTGTTCATGCGGAGAAGAGTTTTGTCAAGCAGTCTTTATCAAAGCTTTTGGATTAAATGAAGATAATATGGAACTATGTTCGTATAAAATAGAACAATAACGATATTGAACATTAATAACTTCATACTTAGAGTTATATTAATACAAACAACTTTTGAAAATTGACATACGTAAATTTACATTACATTATATAATACCAATAATCTATATATATACAGTATATTAGTAATTGCGTTAGATAGTCTTTTCTTGTTCAATAGATGGAGCCAGTATCTGAATTACCAGTAAATTAATACGAAAAGTTGGTAAAATGCTAATTTAATCTAAATGCTAACGTCTTTAATGGAAAATTTAAATTAAGAAAGAGTTTGGTCTGACAGAATATTACTTTATTTGAATGTTACAAGATGGTTGACTACCTGACCAGAATTTTACGTGCGGTATGGTCTCTAAATTTGTTCTTGTTACTATGGTAACAACTTAGATTTTGACTTAAAGAGTTAGAAAGGGATATTTAAGTGATTTTGATACTAATTAAAATGATTGATTAATTTTTTATATAAATATAATTTTTATTTATATAACATATAATTTAATATATATTAAAACTATATACTGTAGTATATATGGTGTTTTTTTACTACAGTTAAATCTCTCTATTAGAATGGCTTATGAGAAGTAATATAGATTCATATATATATACTGTCTATACTTCTCCTCTTTTCCTTCCCCTCTATCGCGAAAGTATTCCTGCTTAGTAATTAATTATAGGCGATAAGTAGCATACTATATCTACTTTACATCTTCAGTGAAAAATATTGATTAGTAATCAAATAATGGAGAATATTTCAAATTTCTTTAACATAAAATAATCAAGAATCGATCGAAATTGGTCCCTTTTTCTTTTTGTTCTTTCCTTGAAAATAGTTTAATTCTTGGGTGTGTTTTTTTTTAGTTTTAGAGCAACGTGCTTTCCCTCACTACTTAAACATAGAATCATAGTTCATAAAACTTAAATTAAAACTGTTACCATAGTTACAGTAGTATAGACCGATTTCGTGACATAGAAAATAAATATAAAAATTTCATGGAATAACGATATTTACAGATCTAGATTTAATGGCATTATAAAATAGAAAAGTCTTGTTATCAAACGTTAAATATAGAATAAAAGAACAAATAATATTTATAGTGTAGGGTAAATTAAATATAACTTTTTAAAATGGCGTTTTACATGAAAACTATAACTTATGCATAAAACATAATACTTCTATGCATCTTAGAGTTATGTTGATGCAGTTTATACAGTTTTTGAAAGTGTTTTATATATGTAATTTTTTGTTTTTTTTTTAAAAAAATGACCAAAAAACCCCCAGAATTTCTTTAGAATAAATTAAGTTTTATTCAACATTTTCAACGTCATTTTTCAATTTTAGTCTACAATGTCAACTAATACTTTCTTTTGAAGGTTTTACTATATTAGTTAATTTAGTAAAAGAGGTTAATAAGGTCACATTCGAACGTTTTTACGTTAATTAGATGATTGACGAGGTGTAATTAAATTACTTCTGTCCCTTCTTTAACGCTTTTAGGTTAATGTTAAATTTACATAAAATATTGAATGTATAGCCGTAAGATGGCGTTAATGGAACAGTTTGGTAAAATGGATATTGTACGACCAATAGTTTTTATGAGATGGTAATAAAATGTAATGGAAAAGAGAAAGTTTTTTTGGCTTAAAAATCGACAATAAAACCGAAATTTGTTGTATAAAATGTCGATTCAAATTGCTGTTTCAACTAGGAGAATGATTGACTTGGTAAAGTAACATGTACCGTAAATGTCAATTTTTAGGATGCGATCTAAAGTCGTCACCATGACAACAACACCATACAGAGATTTCGTAACGTAAAGGGCAAGACACGGAAGAAGTAATAGGATGATGATATTTGTCGATAAAGAGTTTATAGAATACGGAAGAGAAAGGTTTTTGGCGAATAGAGTAAAATATTTCATCGATCTTAGTGTAATGAAGCTTACATTTTATTAGGCTCTAAGTTATCAGGTTTTTTTCCGCTCTCTCATTTTATAGGTAAAATATTACGAAGAAAATCGACACTAGACCTTTATATTACAAGAAACCTCTTAGAAATGCTGCTGAAAGATTCTTGATGGCTTTCTAAGAAAAGATGGTGGTTAAGGAAAGTATCATTTATTTATTCCAATTATGCTTTTATTTGGGTATAAAAATAAATTTTTGTTTGCATTTTTATCATACAAATTAAATATTTGTTTCTCTTTTTAACAATATTTAAATGATATTATTCAAGTGCTAGATATATATAGTCCGAAATGGTAGTTGGAATATAGCATAGCGGAATCATTAAATACCTGGCAGTAAAACCAACTGCATAGCGATTTTTAGGCCAAATTGAAAGAATTGCGTGTTCGTAGGCATCAACAACTTCGTAGATTTTATTAGATGCACTTACCCAGAAATCATCGTATGGTTTCAAAACTAATATGTAAAAACATATAATTTATCAATAAATTTATAAAATTGTAAGACTTACATTCTGCAACATAATTCTCTTTCGTTGAGTACTTGTTCTTTGTCCAGTTTGATGCTCTTTCATAACTTTCTGTTATTTCCTGTCGAATTACATTTTCATTGTGTAAAGGTGTTAAATATCTTCCTGGCTCAATGGTATGAACAGATACATTCCAACCGTATTTCTTTAATAAAAATCTGTTTATTATCTTTTTTCAGTCTATATTCTGAATAAAGAATGAATAAATCTATTTTATAAATTACCCTAAAATACTAGAAAGACCTTCAATACCATTCTTGGTTATTCCATAAAGTAAATTTGCAACTTGAATTCTTCCAGCCATTGATGCCATATTAATAATTCTACCATTTCCCATATTTAACAAGTCCAGAAATTTGAAACAGAGTCCTGCTGGTGCAATTGTATTTATTTTTAACATTTCTAATAAACATTTCATTTTATAAGTTTCAAGAGAACCACTTCCCATTCTACCAATTCCAGCATTATTTACCAAGGCATGTAAACCTTTATTACCAACTTTTTTCGCTACCATTTCTTTAAGACTATCAATTTCATCTTCGTTAGCAACATTCATAACATACGTTGTTAATTTCTGTGAACAGGAATCAGCTAGATCATTAGCACCCTTCTCCGTAAGGCATGCAGCAATAACGCGCATTCCTTTGCCGTCCAAACGCTTAGCAAGAAGATTTCCAAAACCTGTTAAAAATAACAGGTCGAATTATGATTAATTTTTAATAAAATATGATGAAGATACAACAATAACATAACTAAAAATATATGACACTTACCAGTATCACATCCGGTTATCAAAACATACTTGTCTTTAAAATCACCAATATAAAATGATCTTATAAACCATTCTATATTCCTTAAAGTAATTACGAAGAGAATACTTCCTATAACAATTGTGAAAAACATGATGTTTCCTCTTCAAATGGTTAGCATCGATTTAAACTTTATACAATTCACTTCCCTCTTTTTATGTGAATTTTATTATAATTAATCAAATTTCCATGCATTCCATATCTATGCATGTGTGCAATTTAAAGTCTATTGTGATATTTGATGTTAATTTACTAAATCCTTTGTTTCCATATTATAGATGGCACATGCACACAAATTGATAGTCATCGCCTTTCTGGCTGTTTCCAAGGCAGTGTTTTTTTATGAATATAACTTTATTATCGTTTATTGGATATTCAATATTGCTGTTAAATAATAATATATTTCAAATTATGATAAAAATATAAAGTTTCTGGCAATCATTTGTAAATATAAAGTAAAAAATTTCGTTATTTCTTCTTTTCCTTCTTCTTTTCCTTTTCTCTTTCTCTCTTACGTATCTTCTGTTGTAAAAAAAAAAGGCCATAATAAAATTTTCCCTTTTTTTTTTAAATGATAAAGGCTGGATGTTTTTTTTTTTCTATCAACTCTTTTCAAGTCTTTCTTTTTTTTGATAAGACTCACTTCATCTTTATCCTTCTTTTCTTTCTTTTCTTTCTTTTCTTTAGTCTCCCTCTTTATATCTTATTACTATTTTCCTCTTAAATTGATTATAATGAATGTTTATCTTGATTAATTAAACACATCTACATTTTTATTATTCTTGATGCTCCATTAAAACCATTCCATTTGGAATCATATAGTAGACTTCTTTTTTAAAAAAAAAAAGGTCGAAAGTTGATTTAATTCATTACAAATGTAATTTAAGATAAATTTTATAGATAAGTTTAATTTGGAAAACACGCAATAGATGTCGCTATTATGGGTTTTGTTACTAAAAGATAAGTGAAAGAAATAGCTTTTTTTTAGGGGCACGTGACTATATATCATGTGACTGTCATGGAGGCGTATAAAACAAGTATTTTCATAAACTTTATGGTTTTATTTATGTTTAGTAAGTTTTTATTGAAGGTTAGTAAAAGAAAAAAGTAACTTACTGAGTACTATATTGGAATTTCAGATCATTTTCAAATGGGCGTCTGTTCTTCATATAATAAATATGAAAATATATTATCGATATATATGCATCCTGAAGATACAATAATCCCAATACTTAAATCTGAAAATATGGTTAAAGAAGAACTAAGTAAGAAGTTAGGCATTGATGAAGCTCGCCTTTCTATACAAAATCAAGCAAATTATGACTTAGTAATTCAATATAAAAGTGATGAATGCTATCGTGTAAGTTTATCAGCTTGACTACTCTTTGCAATCAATTATTTAGCCCTTAAGGAATGTTGATAGTACTATAATACTCTTTAAATTTTGGTAAAATAGTGTTCATTTGAAGAAATCGGACTTGTTGCTGGCCAGTCCACATGGTCAACGACTATAGACACTAGATGGCCCGTCAAATTACTTGTACAGTCAAAGGGCAATGTGAATTGCAGGTAATAATTTGTCACAGGGCATACAAAAAATGACTTTACTAAATGTATTAATGCGATCACAGCGTTGTCGATTATCACTTTAAGGAATATGGTGATTATTGGTGGACGTTTACCAAGAATAACTGTGGGGCTATAACTTTAAATAATTCGCCAAAGGATGCTTTCATACGTACGACCAACACATATTCTTTATGAAGCAAGACGAAATCCGTTAGATCTATAGGCCTATATATGGTAACGCGCTCTGACAGTAGCTTAATTACAAACACTGTTAGTTATGTTCCACTAGCAGAGTGGTGATTTAAGTAGGAAAAGCCGGTACTAGAGCTACGTGTCAATGAGTCACTAAATTAACGCTTCAATTAAAATCTGGTCGATAGACGGCAACTAAATTCTTGGTCTAATTTAGGTTCAAATTAATTTTAAATAAGTATTCCATTATCTAGACATTTAGATAAACAAGAAGATATCTAAACTATGATAAACATAAAGAAATATATATATATATATACTACTATACTTTATATAAATATTCTATATAATATACTATTATTAAAAGAAAAATAAAGACTGAATGCAGAAAAGGTCAAAGATGAACCATTTATCTTTAGTTAGTTTATTTCATATAAACCCTTAGAATACTTTGACTTTCTTGGGTTTATTGAAATGTTTAATTCTTTCTATTTCATTCATTAGACGCAGTAGTAGGTCTAATTCACTTACTAAAACAAATTTCGTGAAAGAAAGGGGAGGGGAAAAAACTAGGAAGATGAAAACAACAGATGAGGGGGTGATGAAAAGGGAGAGAGGGGTAAGAAAGTGGAATAATAAAAAAAAAAAAAAACAAAACAAAAGAAAAAAGGCATTGGGGTAGTGTAAAAAATTTAATAAACAGTAGAATTGAGCTTGTCTCCAGGGGTTCTCTGATATTAACTATCTGACAGATTTTGTCTGTGATTATTACAACACTGGACATTTAATCATTTTAATACATTCATTCCAGCGATTTACATAACGTTGGGAGTATTAGTCGGAGTTGCCTTAATCTGGATAATCTTGAGATTTATAGTTCGGTTAGCATCTTGAAATTATTGTGGATTGTATTTTGTTTTTATAATATAATTGCTTCATAATTTATTTTAAGAAATTTACTTAAATATTTTACAAACATCTATTTATATAAATAACTTTTCTCTTTCTTTTTAGGAGGGCGTTTTTTCAGTCGTTTCTTGTTCGTCTATCTAGAAATCGAAATGTCGTTATTGGTTCTGTAAGTAGTTGCTTGAAAAATTGGATTAGTTCTGACTTTTTTCTCCAACATGTTTTTCTTTTTTTTCCCCCTTTTTTCTTTCACTTTCCTAGGAGACATATGAAAATGCAGATGGACCTGAAGAAGTAGAACAGCCAGTTAGAGAAAGGCTAAAATCATTGGATAGTTTCAGAGGGTAATTGAATTTGTCGTTTCTTCCCCCTTTTAAAATAACGATAAACCGACAATTTCTTGGCAATTTAGTCCTCCTCCGGGAAAGGTGATTGATATATAAACTAATGGTAACTAACGTTATGTCGGCTACTTTAAGGACAACTTAAGGTTTTTCCTGTCACGTGATCCTTTTACGGTTAGATGAAAACAGAAAAGTACGACGAGAGTCACCGTCGCTATTGCGTGACAACTTTAATCGAAAAGAAAAACCTTGGAGGGAGAATGAAGGGAATAAAGGGAAAATAAAGACGGAAGTGGAATAGGAGTTTTTAAGGTTGAAGAGATTTAAAAAAAAAAAAGGTGCTACTCACTCTCTTTACTTCTCCCTCCTCTCCTTATTTTTAGTATATAATTTGAGAACATATATTAAATAGTAGCCATACCGAATATTGTTATCGTTAAAGAGGCACTCTTTTTTTCTCTCGAAATATACTCCACTTCAATCCAACTCCCATCTTCGACACTTATCCAAATAATTTACTTGATCAAGTCTATATTGAAAAACGGTTTTACGAAATATTTTTTTGCCTTTCTTTATTCTGAAGCTTGAAAGGTAAAACCTTTTAAGAGCATTAAATTTAACCAAATATTCGATGCAGTCTTTTTCATTATTAGACGCCTTTCCCGGACTTTTAAGAGAATGAAGAAAAAAATGATGTTTACGAGCTTTCTCTTAAGCGGATTATAGTCTCTTCTGTTGTTTCTTTCTTTTTTAAAATACTCTCCTATTTTATGTATAAACAGTTTCAGTTTAGTGATAATGGTGGTAGTAAACTACAAAGGAGGCCATTATTGGTTTTTAAGACATTCGAAATGGGACGGATTAACCGTAGCCGATTTAGTGTTTCCATGGTGAGAATCTTAACGTAGCACTTAATTTTTTTTTTTATCCAGCTTCTCATTGGTTATTATGGTATTTGTGAATTATAACGGAGGGAAATTTTGGTTCTTCGATCATTCCATTTGGGACGGTTTAACTGTTGCCGACCTCGTTTTTCCTTGGTAGAGAAATGCACTTTTTTTTCTTAATTGAAACTCTCAAAGGGCAAGAAAATTGTTATAATTAAGTAGAACTTCGATTAAGGTTAAAACCTCATTCTTTAAGTTCATTTCCGGAGATGTTTTGGTATTAGGACAATTAAAGTAAGAAATGAAAAAAAAATCGCAGCCATTATCATATCATTTAACAAAAAATGTAAATAATGAAGAGACTGAAAAACAAACCTAATAATCTAGCTTCAAAAAGCAAAATAGACATAAAGGAATCAATGAAAAAGGGATTGAGAGAGCTAAGATTAATAAATATTTATATAAAAGTCCAAAAGTGAGAGTTTCAATGACGGAAAATTGTATCAGCAAGCAACATGTACAGCTTCGTTTAGCTATTTTATTTTTTATAAATAATCACAATATCATTAAGATGGCTTCCCTTTTCCCTTTATTTTTCAAGATTAATAAAAAGCTACTTTTTATTATTTTGTTTGATTTTTGTAATATAAAAATTGCCGTTAATTTTTCAGTTTATTAACTTCATTTTCTTATTGTTTCTCTTTTTTTAAAACACAGGTTTACATTCATAATGGGTACTTCTATAGCTTTATCTTTTCGAAGCTTATTGAGGAAAGGGATATCGAGGTGGAGATTGATGTGGAAAGTATTTAAGCGCGCCCTTATTTTATTCGCAATAGGATTATGCCTTGGCACCTCGTCCGGTTAGCCGCTTATAGTATTATAGATAATGTCCAAAAGAAATATATAAGAGGATTTTTTTTATTATACATATTTATATACAAACGTATTTATGTGTTTACATTTAGGTCCAATTAACATGAAAAACTTAAGGATTCCTGGGGTTCTACAACGATTAGCTCTATCCTACTTAGGTGTTGCCGCTGCTCATGTTTTCTGCTCCAAAGCTGAGGACACAAATAGGGTAACTAGAAATACTTTTTATAATAACTTTCATTTTAATATTATTAAATACTTAACGATAAAACATCCTATTAAATTTACGTAATCAACTGTCTCTTCTTTTTTTCTTTCCTTTCTCTCTTCTCGTTTATCTTCATTTAGTACACCAACGTTTTGTGTATATATTCTGGTATTTCTATTTTCGAAAGACGAACAATACTATAATAAGTATAAGGAAACGTCTGTTTGCTTCGTTGAAGCTTGTTGTTCTCTTCATCTTTTTCTCTTTTCCAGTTTATTGTAGTTGAGAAAAAACAACGAGTTTTACTTAGGTATATTTTACATATATTACGCATTATGTGTATATATTAGTTTATGTTTGTAAAGAGAAAAACTATGCCTAAGCCAAAGCTTAAGTTCATTATTCACTATTGCTTTTATTATAAAATAAGATAAAATCATTTATTCTCTCTTTTCCCTTACATATACTAATTGCCCTTTAATAATTACTGCATGTATAATACCTATTAAAGGATTTTCCTTTAATTAAACCCAATTTTAAGAATTTACTATATTAAAAATATAATAATAAATTATATTATTACTATAGTCTTTTAGTTTTATTGATTGATTCTTGCTTTTACTGTCATTTTTATTAAAAGAAGTTTATTAAATGTACATATTAATTACATTTATACTTTTAGATAAATTTCATTTATACGTAATTTAATATATAAAATACAATGGTTTTGTTTAATATCACCTAAAGATTAAAATTATAATAAGTGAATAATATTTCTTTAAACAAACTGAAAGAGAGAAAGATACGTTCTCAATCTATAAAACGTATAAATATCTATATCTATGCTGTATATATTCAGTACACTCAATGTACAAAGATAGATAGCCCCTATTATAAACATATAGATTGATAGATAGATTTATAAATATTAATAATTTGTATTATATTTAGTTAGAAAAGAACAAAGAAAGTATTAATATTGTTGAAAAACCTTGAAAGTAAATAATGTTAAATAATTCATAGCGATAATCATTTTATGAAGTTTATTCTTGTAAGGAAATAAAAGAAAACCTTTTATACATAAACTTATTGAGAATACATATTATGTACTTTTTATATTTTATACATAATAAGTATTATATACATTTATGAATAACAAACATGTTTATTTCATATTTATTAAATTGAGTGTCTAAATTTTCTTTTGTCTATACGTTTTACATTAATTTTCCGTACTCTATTACTATTTATATCTTGTTTCAGTAGTTCTAGAAAGACAATTTAATAATTGTCAGCTTAAATATCATTTCTAGCTAAACTATTCTAGAATTTAAAACAAAATTTTCTTTTTAATTAGCAAAAATCAATCGATAAAATGAAATTAATAAAAGTAGGACAACGAAGTAACCATCTAGTCAATGTAATATTAATGTATATAGTACTTTTCAATGCACACCTACTGCTGTATAAATGGTTATTTAGTTATGAAATTAGTATACATTTATTTAAATATTCTTTCTAACATGAGAAAATTAAAATATATCTTTAGTTATTATTCTGTAAACGTAAGGATAGTCCTACTAGACAATCTAATAACGACTGACTCATCAGTCATTTCCCTTCGCCTTTTTTTTTTTATTTTTTTAAACTCGTTTCGTCTGATTTCTTATTTATTTCGTACTAATCTTTTTAGTTGTATGTTTCTCAGTTTATTTCATTCTTGTTTAAAAAACGAAAAAGAAAAGTAATTAGTATAAAAAGTAATTAAAAAGAAACTTT